CTGGTTTATTAAGCTGCTCGGAGTTCAAGGTATTTGAAGTAAACTGGGAAGAATCAGGAAGGATAACTCTAATGTCAGACAGAGGAACAGTCATGAATTGGACGGACACATCACCGATACAAATACAAGGCTTAGGGATCATGACGGGATGGGGAAGTGAAGGACTGTGGATTTTGGAGCATTCATGTAAGCAATAACAAAAACTGATTTGAATTTATCAAAAATTGAAATTATTACTACGATTGTTTAATGAAATTAATTTTAAATTCAAGATGATACATAGATACCCGCTTTCTGAAGTGTAGATATTTTGATGTTACCGATCAGACGAATATGGCAAGCCGTTGTGGAATGTATTCTCTTTTTATTAATATTAATAAATAATTTATTTATATTAAAAATATTTTTTTAATATTAATGAATAGGTCTTTTTTAATATTGATTAAGTTTATTTCTTTTATATTAAATATAACTTTTAATATTATAAATTCGATTTATTAATACTGAAAAATTAAAATGAATATTGAAAAATAGATCCTATTCATTAGTAATATAAAAAAAAATGTTTTGATCTTAAAAAATCATTTTCTAATGTTCAATAAATGGTTTAGTTTTTTTATACCAAAAATTATTTTCTCTGATATTAATAAATACGCCACCTATATAAAAGAGTTGTTTGTGCGCTTTTATCATGTTTATGTAAGATGAGCATACGTCACAACCTTGACATTTTTCTCTATAAAAAAAGCATTAGAAGAGAGAGATGGAAAACAGCCTTCTTTTTTTAAATCTGTGTTTCCTGTTCTGTTTTATTAATCTTTTAACTTTTCAGCTCTTTTCACTGGCTACTATTGTGGTGAGTCAGACACATATGGTAATATGACCTTACTTTCTACTACTGTTCAACGCAGTCGTGTTATCTGTACATTGGAATGTTCAACGAGGAATGACTGTCTTGGTGTCAACTTTAATGGCAATACCAAAACATGTGAGGTCGTTGCTGGAGGTCAACCAGTCGTCAAGTCTGTTGTCCACAACTGGAAGTTTTATTCAAAATGTTTGCATGAAAACAAGGCGTGTTTAGCGTGTATTGTTTGACCGGTTCTATCGATCTGTATAAGACTGAAAATTGCCTTCTTGTCTGTTTTCACTTTTCATATTTTATAACAAATGTTTGTTTTTAAAAATAATGAAAGATGAGACCAATTATAAAGGCGAATGGAGATTCATTTGAGTATAATTCACCAGAATACAAATACTTCCAATTAACGGAAGCAATATAAGTTTACCCGTATATGTGTTTTAAAAGCTTTGTTTGTTTGTTAATGAAATGGATAAATTGACATTATATTAGTACTTATAAAGTCACATGAAGGTTTTTATCTTTTTTAAAAATCGTGAATTTATCAATTATAGACTTTTGACGAAGTCAACGCGTTATATATGGACCTGTTCATATATGGACTTCGTCCCTGGTCAATATAATCTGAACAGGTCCATATATAACGTATTGACCTCGCCAAAAGTCCGTAATTGATAACTGTATTTTGTAAAATTTTCAATATTGATCGTCAATATGGACAAAAACAACTTTCCTTAATTTCGGTCAGATAATCGAAAAGAGGAATTCCAAAATTAAATGCACAGGAATAACTGATTATGGACTAGAAAACTTCGCGTATTAGGAAAAGCAATATACCAAGAATATTAACGAAACCTATATTTTATGAGCTCGAAAGCATAGACTCAAACAGACTAAAGTGTTTGTCCAAATTGTAGAGCTGTCATTGTCATGTTCTAACAAATTGTAATTTATGGCAAAGTGGTCTTAGTAGTTCATCTACTTATCACTGGCCTGTTAACACTGATGTTGTCAGTTTGAGACCCACTCATGGCAGGTGCATTTGATTGATATCCAAATGGACTGGGAACTCAATTTTTCTGCAGAAGATATGGTTCTCTACCGGCACCTCCACCAATAAAACCTGACCACCACAATATTCATAGTGCTGAAAGTGGCACTAGACACTAATAATCAATCAATCAATTTCACATTGATGCAAAATAACTAACTTACTGATAATGTGGTTTTTCAGTTTTAAACATTTTTGGCATTTTATAATGTAAAATCCTCTTGATGCTAAACCGCTTTTCAGTAATCTCATCATGCTACGTTGTGGCGAACGTTCTTAGATTCGATCAAGCTTGACTCTGCTTTTAATGTTTTACAAAAGACTTGATGAAACACTTTTCATTATTACATGCATATATAATGTACATTCTTGTAATAAAATTTGTGTATGTTCAAATGTTATGGTGGAGGCCTTACTTATATTTTTTTTTAAACTGGTTGCTTTTATTGTTCATTAATTCTTTACCCATTATAGTTGTAATAAAAAACAACCTTCTGTGTGTGCTCCAATGCTGCAGATCAATACATTAAGGAGACTAGGAAAACATTTCAAATCAGATGACAATTCTTAATTTGGCAAATTTATATTAATTGTTGCTTCGAATTGGGCCATTATTATAATCAAAGTAATGGTAATCACTCATGGAAAGCTCATGGAAGAGTAGTTTGAATATTTTCCTTATTTATTTAAGTATGGTGTTGACAAAAAAGAACATTAATATTGCGATATTGCAGACCATTACATTTACTACTTGTCTTTAGAAGAATAGCATTTTTCTCAGTAGATACAATGAGATAAATGTGAATCCATGAGAGTTGGTAAAAAATATCCTTAAAATTGCAATTGATATTTTAACCAATTAATGTTGTTCCTGGTTACATGTTTCACCTTCTACATTTCATCTTTAGAAACAGAAGACATTACCAAATAACGATTCTTTGAATAAAGTTTACCAATTATCCTTGTAGGAAATGGGACCAACAGATAGATCTATATTGATTCCAAAAACTAATCTAAAAAGGTTGTTTTGGGGAGCATTTTGTAAGTTGAAACATAAGACATACTATTTTTCTCCTAAAAGAATTGCTTATTGATTTTAAAAACAATTATCTTGTTTATATATGACACTAAAGATTAAAAACTTTTTCAACTTATACAAATTTAAAATCTTATTTTATTGAAATGTGGACTCATTCTTCACTGCAAAAGTTCACTTCCTATATTCAAATGACAAATATTGTTCATAAAAATTTGATAAGAATAAACTAAAAAAATATTGGTTTGCTTAGTTTAGAATTTTGAAATTTTATTTACTGTTTCAAGCCAATCACTGATAAGTGAAACCTATGTTATTAATTAATAACAGATGATTAGTGTACAACTTTATCAAAATAAATAAAATATACACCTTATATGAATACCTTTTTTAATTTTCTAGATTTATTTTTTTATTCTTTTGAAAAAAAGTCTTCTGAATCTTTAACCATTTATCTTTTAGATATGATTTATAAAATCATTTAAATGAATGTAGATCAAAAGTAAAAGGCAATGAATAAATCTTTCATTTCTATTTATCAATATCTAATATAAAGATATGTGTATTCAATAATGAGGACAAGTATTTGTGTATTGAGATTTTTAATGAAGGATCTGCTTAATTATGTAAGACTGATGTTGATTAGTAATATGGTCAAGGTGATTGGCATTTAAGGAGGTGGGACATTATAATTCAGGTCCCGCCTTTTCTCTTGCTTGTTTGGCGATCATGGCAGTAGTCAATCATGCTGGTAATGTATCTTACTCATAACTAATTAAAATCACATAACTAGCCTGTAAATTGACCGAAACTAAAGACACACATACTTGAATGAACTAATCCAAAGATATAACCAACATTTTTCATAGTTCGTATGTGCATATGTACATATACATGAGAATTACAGGGAACTATATTTCAGTGTGTATACCTTTTGTAAAATCAGCAGCAAACCTGAGCTTCTTTATGTTTAGGAGGCCCGTGCCTTAGGAAAGACTTGGAACAATAGTTCCAATCCTTCCAAAAATATTCTATAGTGTGTTTAATTGCAAACATGTCATTGTTTAAAGTCAAGAAAAATTAAAACAATAGGAATAACTGTTTGGTATCCCATAATGATGTGCCTGTCATAGAGTAGTCAATACGAATTTGTTATAATATTGAATATGAATATGATACAAAAGTCTAACTTTTTATCAATAAAACTTGTACGAGTTACTATTATCTTTCATTGTTATGGAATATCTGTTTCACAGATGACAAGGGATATGTTCCAATTGTCTAAGTAGTTATCAAAGGTACAAGGCTTATAATTTGATACGCTAGACACACATTTCGTCTACAAAAGACTCATCAGTTAAACCACATTCTCATCCTCTTTTCCCCAAAAAAGACCTACCAAATTAAAACTAATCACTGGACAACACAACAGGTGCAACATGTGGAGCAGGGTATGTTTACCTTTCTGAAGCACCTGAGATCAACCCCGGCTTTTGGAGTGGATCATGTTGCTCAGTCTTTAGTTTTCTATGTTGTGTTTTGTATACTGCTGTTTGTCTTTTGGTTCTTTTCTTTTATTGCCATTGCATTGAAGAATAATTTTCCACTTATGAGTTTGAATGCCCCTTTTGGTATCTTTTGCCTCTATCTTAAGACGATGAAAATAAAGTGAAGGTCTTTGTGAAAAATACTAACAGTTTACAGTGATAAGAAATTCAAAATATGAATATGTGGTTTGATTGCCAATGACCCAACTCTCCATAGGGCAAAGATGTAAACTTTAGCTTATGACCTTCAGGAATGAACAAAACCAATACTGTATAGTAAGCTATAATACAACCTGATATGACAATATATAAAACAATTGAAAAGAGAAAATCAATGACTTCATTTACACTACTAACAATAAATGAAAAACAAATATGGCACACATCAGCAACAAACAATAACTACTGGATTACAGGTTCCTTGCTTTGGACAGGCACATCAAAATGTGGAAAATTTATCAGAACCAAATTAATTTGTGGTTTGTGATAAAACAAAGCATCTGGTTAACTAAAAAATTATTTTATCACACTGCATTTGTAATAACATTAATTTTTTTTAACAGAACAGAAAGTTTTGTTGTTCATGACACTTCATTATAATTTGTGTTGAATAAGGTTTTGACTGCATCAATAACCGTCTCCACTTATGTTTATGCAAAAAAATGCATTTTTCATCTTGACTTCTTTTTATTTGGTTCCCAGCTAAAACAGAAAAAAAGAACAATTAAGTTTGCAGAAGGATAGACTAATCTATTCCTTTTGTTAATAGTTGCTTCTATAAAGAGGTGAAATTAATGTACTTTTTAATATAAATAAGAAGATGTGGTATGAGTGCCAGTGAAAAAACTCTCCAGCCAAGTCACGTTGTATAAAAAGTAAACAATTATAGGTCAAAGTACAGCCTTCAACATGGAGCCTTTGCTCACACCAAACAGCAAGCTATAAAGGACCCCAAAATGGCAAGTGTAAAACATTTCAAACATGAAAAACCAACGGTCTAATCTATATAAAAAATGAGAAATTAGAAACACTTAAGAACCAAACCAACAAACGACAACCACTAAACAACATGCTCCTGACTTAGGACAGGTGCAAAAAAATGCAGGGAGTCTAAACATTTTTACAGGCACCAACCTTCACCCTAACCTGAGATAGAAGCGTAGCATTACAACATAATAAGACACACTATAAAATATCAATTGAAATGGCTTAACTTATTCAAAAAGACATTTATACATAAATTAGTAAACATATACTCGAAGAATAAGTTTGATCTATGACACAATATACATACAATATCAATAAAAAAGATGAAGAACAGTGTCAAAAAGAAAACTTTAACCTGAGACAAAATAGTGTTATATTCTAAATCTTTAAGAAAACATGTATCATAAGTGACATAATTGCATATATGGGACATATTATCGATAGGACAAGAAGCAGCCAATACAAACAATTTTTAAATGACTTGGGCAGCAGACTTAACCCTAGAACATCCAATATACAAGAACACACAAACTCAGATCACAAAGAAATTATCAAAATATTTGCACAGACATTTGTAAATTAAAAGATATCTCAAATTGTTTGCTTACTTAAATAAATCTTGAGCTTTTTTCTCTGATTCATTCTGTTGACTCTCAGCCTGAAATAAATACAATATGCTTTTACAATATAATTGATTTCAATGCAACTGTCATACAAGTGAGAGGTTTAGCTAGCTTATCAGGTCTAACCAACCATCTTCTACATAAGAAATGCCAGTACAAGGTCAGGAATATGCCAGTTGTTTTCATTTTTTGTTTTGCCATTTAATAGGAAACTTTCCTTTTTGCATTTTCCTTGCAGTTTAATATTTTTGTTATTTTACTCTTTGCTACTGTAAATTCATAAATTATTATGATATTTTAATTAAGGCTGAAATACAGTATCAGGTTTGCAATAACAATAAACTGTTGACACAGAGGTATTTTCCGCCTTTTTGTAATTTTGATAGTATTGAATCCAAGTGGCAATATCTACACATATAAATAAAGACAACAGTAGTATACTGCTGTTCAATAGTCATATATTGATTAAGCAAAAACAAATCCAGGTACAAACAAAAACAGAGGTGAAAAAGTCAACTATAACAGGAAAACAACGGAACAACAAAAACACTGAACTGCAACAAAAACAAACGCCAACATACACAGAAATGGACTATCTGATAACAACTGCCATACTCCTGACTTGGTACAGGATATTTTAAGAACAAGAGTGCACACGCTGAAATGTCTCACCTGCTTTGCTGACCATTGATTTTATGATGAAAGTCTTTAAGATAAAGGTTTTACTAATAGCATCAAAGAAACTTAACATTTTTAATGATCTATGACAATGAGGTCAAGGTTAGATAAATTCTCTAAGATAGACATATAAACCTTACCGTAATTGTATACATCAAATATAGTTGATCTATTATTTATGGTTATTGAAAAACAGACCAAAACACAAAAATTTAACATTGACCATTTAACCACTAAAATAAGGTCAAGGTCAAATGAAACCTGCCAGACAGACATGTTCACCTTATAATCATTCTATACACCAAATATAGATGACCTATTGCTTAAAGTACTTGAAGAAAGACCAAAATACAAAAAACTTAACCGTGACCAATGAACCATGAAAATAAGGTCACGGTCATATGATACCTGGCAGACTGACATGTAACCATTACAAACATTTCATACACCACATACAGTTGACCTACTGCTTATAGTATTTGAGAAACGGACCTCATCACGTAACTTTAACCTTGATCACTGATCCATGAAATGAGGTCAAGGTCAGGGGAACCCTGTCTGACAGACATGTAGACATTGCAAGGAACCCATGTACCAAAAACAGTTATCCTATCACTCCTAATAAGTGAGAAATTTACATGACAAATAAACTTAAAATTTTGTTCAAGCAGTTGCTGAACCATGAAAATGGGGTCAAGGACAATGGACATATGACAGACAGAAACTTCGTAACATAAAGTACCTACATACAAGATATGAAGCATCCAGGTCTTCTACTATCTGAAATTTAATGCTTTATACAAATAGTTTACGCTGCCCCCACCAGATAGTAATACCTATTCTCACACATTGCAACTTTAGACTCAGGCAAGACAAAAAAATTGTTGGGTTAAACCTGGTTTAATGGCTAGCTAAACCTCCAGCTTATATGGCAATGTTAAAAATACCAATTGAATAAAATGGCAACATTACGTGACAGGAATACAGTACAAATAAAGGCAAGAACACCCAGGACAAAGAAATACATAAATAAATAACATGATAGTACATTACAACATGTAAAAGTAAAATCACAAAAATACTGAACTCTGAGGAAAATTCAAAGTGGAAAGTCCCTCATCAAATGGCAAACCACAGAATAACAACAAACACCTCCCATGAATTTACGACAGTACACCAGGACTTTGTTGTGAACTATAAACTGTGAACATATAAACTATGCAAAACATTCAAAGTCAATGAAGCACACCATAAAGTGCAGGACTAAATAATCTCCATGGAAATGAGAAATGTCAATGCTTATACAATTATACAACTGCATACCAAATACCATTGACTTATACTTAACATAAAACTAAATACAAACTTTAACTTGTAAACAATGTAAAGGTTTTAAAGTCAATGAGCCTTGATATGAGGTGGGGCCAAATCCTTTCCACATAATGCAGACTTGAAATTGCTAATACTACCATGGACTTAACACAAGTGGTTCTTCTTAAACTGGTCTAATCACAAACTTTAACATGTAAATTATGCAAAACATTCAATGTCAATAGACTATTACTAAGAAGGGGGTAGCAAAATGATCTTCATGGAAATGAGATGTGCCAATGCTAATGCATCTGCATACCAAATATAATTGACCTACCACTAGAGGTTTCCTTTAAACTAATCACAAACTAATACATTTTAAGTAAGCAAAAGTTTCAAAGTCAATAGATCATGACTGAGGGAGCATGGCCAGTTAGTCTCCATGAAAATGAGTTGTGTCAATGCTCATACAACTGCATACCAAATGTCACTGACCTACAAGTGGTTCCCTTTAATCTGACATAATCACAAATTAGTACATGTTAATTAAGCAAAAGTTTCAAAGTCAATAGAGCATGACTGAGTGGGTAAGGCCAAATTATCTCCATGGAAACCAATACAAATACAACTGGATACCAAATATCATTGACTTACCACTATTGGTTCCCTATAAACTGATCTTATCACAAACTAATTTATTGTTGTTCAATGTACTAGAAATTTAAGGGTTCCTTTTAAGAGATGATGGGTTTACCTCAATGTGACATCAACCATAAGACATCTAGTGAGTAACAGATAGTGAAAGACAGGTATCCATAAAATGTATTGAGGTCTAAATTGTTCAATGTTTATAAAAATGATGAATAATTTAATAAGAACATTAAAAGGTCACTTTTTCTATGGGCCAACATATTGCTTATTTTTATTAGATGTCAAATGTGTAAAATGACTATGTATATTTAACATATATACCAATACTGTGTAAAAATATCAATATTTACGAGACTGTAAAAATCTAGGTACTGTGAAAGTACTTTAATTAGTGGGTATCAATTTTCGTGGTTTAAGCAAAAGTTACATGTTCGTGGGTTTTTAAATTCGTTGATTTTAGTTTAAAAAAAAAAAATAAAGTGAAGAATTGAAGCCATAAAAAAACGAAGATTATTAATGATAACCGTCTATTGTTTTATAATGATTTGAAGGAAATTGCAAAGTAAACATTTAAATTATTGCACACTGTAAATCATAGTGATGACACTAATTAGCCAGAGATCGTGTTATCAACAGATTAAAGACCATCAAAGGTGTTAATTAGGGGCGCATTGCATTTGCGCCAATTTTTACAAAATCCAATCTTTCATTTGCGCCAAAAAAAAAAAAAAACTACATTTGCGCCACTTTACAGGTAAGATATAACAGGAAATTTTAAAATATTCATTGCTACATCATGAATACATTTTTTTTTAAGTATTGACCCTGGGTACTGGGTATCTAAGTAAGTGTATATTTTTTTTTTTTATTATGTACAACTGAGATTTGAGGTGTCAAGATGGACATTTTCAATTATGAGTTAGTTTCCGTTAGTTTTCTCAGAATTGGATTGTTTTAAATTTTTCATGTTGGTGCTGTTTATAGTCGACTATACGGAATTGGTTTTTGAAGGCCGTACGGTTGTCTATGATGGCTTTCATCCACTTCATTTGACCTTGATAGTGTCTCATTGGCAATTATACAACATGTCCTTTTTTGTATATAGAGGAAATAAGTCTGTATTTTTTTATGACCACACATATAGGTTATCCGGTGTTAATTAGTACATCCGAGCCGTTGCTTACAAGTTGTGTGTTACAATGAACTTTTGGTTTTACTTCAGTGTATAGTGCTTTCTTTTAGTTTTTATAATCTCGTTAATTTATAACAGAATTTTTTTTACATTATTAAAAAAAAGTCTCTTATCAAGAACTTATCAGTGTATAGTGCTGTCATTATGGCTACGATGACTGATTTTGGAGGAATATGTTTTATTATGCAATCAAAAACTGTGTTTTAAAGTTATTATTAAAAGTCGCTTTTGAATAAAACTATTTTTATACTATTTACCTGTATTTACCTGTATTATTGGCACAAATGAAATGTTTTATTTTGGCGCAAATGATTTATGATTTGTGGCGCAAATGAAATGACAATTGGCACTAAAGCAAAGCACTGGTTAATTAGGCCATAAACATGTCACGAAAGAGAACAGTTACATAAACAAATGCTATAAATATACCTTAAAATGTAAAATTAATTCTTATTAAAAGCATGCCCAACATGAAATTATTATTTTCCGTATGAGAATTATGAGGATATAAAATAACATTTTATCATAGCATATCATGACCGGAAATCTGACTTTCATCGATCAAAAATATTTATTATGAAAATCAAAAGATCAAAAGCCTTACAGTTTAGGTTTTTAAAGATTAAATTGGTATAATCCTGTCTGCAGTTGTAGTTCATAGTGCATTTGCCGATATTCAATGTATTCTCTAGATCATATCGGTAGTCAAACCTACATGGGGATCTTTCCATGTCTTGTTTTGGACAACAGTTGTTATATTTCGTTGGACATTTAAATTCGTGGATAAAGTCATCCATGAAAACCACGAAAATTGGTTCCCCATGAATAAAAGTACTTTCACAGTATATCATTGCAACCAATGTAAAAAAAAATTATTTATCTACTCTTATCATCAATGGCTAAAATGCTTTTATTAACTTTTTTTAATTATCTTTTGTTTCTTTTAAGTATTAGGTTGGTGGTTCTCTCCAGGCACTCCAGCTTCCTCCATCAATAAAAACTGACCGCCAGGAAAAAGCACAATAGTGTTGAAAGTGGTTTAAACACCAATCAATCAATTCTAGGTATAATTGGAAGAGTCAGAATCCTTATTATTGATGTAGTAGGTTCTACCAAATCTCTCTTACCTGAATGGCTTCTTTAAACCAATCATCTAAGTCCTTTCTATTTGTTGCAGTATGGGCTATTAGATCACTTCCTCCAATAATTCTAGGTAAACTATTTGCTCCTGCATTTTCTGTCTATAAAGAAATAAAAAAATTATATCATGTAGATTCTTCTCATATTGACCTCCTTTTCATGGTTCATTGATAATAATAAGTTTATCTGAAAAAGTAAGACTTGTAACATAAAATTCAATCATGATCAGTAATTTCAGTGCATGTACTGTTATTTCTGAGTAGTTTCTAACAAAACCAAATGGAACTTGATACACCACAAAATATTATGAATACAAGGCATAGGACATGCAGTAATCAGATTAAAAAAATGTTCATTTGTTTATAATTATTTGAAGAGGCAACACAAGCAGAGAGATCCAAGTAGTTCATCTACAGTGATTACTAGTACTGTTACACCAGTGCCCTAGGTTATGGGGAGGGTTGAGCGCTCACAAACAAGTTTAACCCCACCACATTCTGTATGTGCCTGTCCCAATTCAGGATCCTGTAGTTCACTGGTTGTTGTTGGTTCATGTTTTGTCATATTTTTTTTTTGTAAACTGTTTTATTATAAATTAGGACGTTAATTTTCTCAATTGAATTGTTCCATATTTTCATGTCTTTGCCTTTTATAGCCAACTATATGGTGTGGGTATTTTTCATTGTTGAAGGACTTTCAGTTGCCTATAACTGCTTACATCCTCTTTATTTGAACTTCGGTGGATAGTTGTCTCATTGGTAATCATACCACATCTCCTTATTTTTATATCATCACTAAGCTTGTGAGTTCAAACAGTGCTTATGTAATTGTGTTGGCCACTGGTTGCAATTGACAAGGATTGCCAGTTTTTCTGCTGAAGGTTGGTGGTACTCTCCAGGCACTCCTGCATTCTCCAACAATAAAAACTGGCTTCCATGACAATAGCAAAAAGAACTGAAAGTGTCATTTAACACGAACAATTAATCAATTAAACAATTATTTTTTATTTTTGTTTGCATTTCAATGTTATGCAGTATTTTATCAACCATATCCTGAAAATTCTCTAAGATTTGATCTTTATCTTTTCAATGTTTCTCCGGATTTTTAGATATATGAGCAGTGATTGGGAAGGTCGTGCGCCATGCGCCAATTGTGCATTTTGACCAGAAATGGTACATAGAGTGGCTAATGTCAGCGCAAGAGTGGCGCACGATATTTTTCGGTTCGTATCTAAACGCTTAGCTATATAGTAAAATAAAATTCCGATCGTGTTTCATGTCGCCATATTTGTGTACAAAACTGTGTTGTGTTCCCTCCAATGACAGGAGCACCACCTATATATTTTTGGGCTGTCTCAGGCATTTTCCTTCATGTTAATGATAGCAACTTGCAGTATATCTTATTACCGCAAAAACATAATTAACCATCATACATGATCTAAACAACTTAAATTTTGTGAAAGTTGGCTAGTACAGGCGAGAATTTTTTTTAAATTATAATCTTTAAAGTAAACTTTCTTTAATTTCGATTGAAAAACCAAAAGGATTTTTTTAATATAAAAGACCATAAAAGGCCCTTAACTGTCCTTGTCAATTTTTTGGTCTTTGGTTCGTTTGTATTTAATGATCCCACTTTTCTTTGTTCATGAATATAGTACCCTTTAATTAAAGTGTATTTTTTCTTTATTTTTTTCTTTCTCTTTCTCATACATTTCTTAGTTTTTATGGGGTGGAAATGACAGAAGAGAGCTGAAATAAATTTTCGGATGTTTTATTTTAACTGATTTTGATAAAGAAAGAGTGATTAGGCCAGGTTCAAAAAGGTATTATTTATAGTTTTCGGAACATCTCTTGACTTGTCAATAAGGGTATGGATGTGTATTGGCTAAATTTGTAAGATGTAAACATGGAATTTTTCTGAAAGTTGGATATATTTTTGGACTTGTACTGTACATTACACACACAAAAAATTGGCAAAAAAAAACAGTGAAATTTTTTTAATGCGACAAAACCTTATAAAGAACTAATAGAGGATTTAATTGTGGTCTGTGGCCAGATCAGATGTCTATTCTTGAACTCAGCATTTCCTTATTAATGATTCTGTTCACTGAAGTGGTGTTGGTCTAGTCATAAGTTGCTCAGTTTAAAAAATTTTTATTATAAGTCATAAAAAGTTGAATTTTTGAGTAATGTTACATTTCATGAACTCATACGATGTCATTCTTAGTTACATGTACATCAGAGACATATATTCTTTTGTATGTCTTTGGTCATATAAATCACCATGAACTAAATTAACTTTTGTTCACTGAAGACTAATAAAAAAGCACAGAAACAATATCCATGATGTCAATTAAAATTGTACAGGTTAGTAACTCTTTGCTGAAACATACACTTTTTTATTTTTTTTTTATAAACTAATGGCCCACTCATTTGAAAACATGGCCCATTAATTCTAAAAATGGCCCATTGATTTTATTTTTAGGGGGCCCTGGGCCCATAGTTAAAAAATCTTTACAGATCACTGTATGAGGGTAACAATACCTTTCTGAACTTTTTGAAACTTCTGACCAGTTTTCCTTTCCATTTAACATAACCCTCTGGTACCCCTTCACTAGATTGTTTTTTAGGTTTATTTAGTTTCCTAGCTACCAAGTCAACAAACTGGATATTGATACACCTGGAAGGCAGGTCTTCCTCCTTGACATAGTCAGTTGGTCTACTATTCTGAAAGAGCAAATATTACTAAAGAATTTAAAGCTACTTTTTGTATTTTTACTGCTGAGTAAAAGCTTTGAGCAAGCATATTTGGCACATGAGCACTTCAAACTACGTATACATAAATGTCCTCACGGTCAGCACTTTAACAACCCTATGAAAGTACAATAATAGATCCATTAAATTCTTATTTAGATACAATTTAATGTAAAAACAAAAAGTTAATCAAGTGCTTTTTTTCTTTTGTCTTTAATATATTCCTATGCATTACTGTAAATTTGCAATGTAGCCATGCGTGAATATTGCATTTTATTATATAATTAGGAAATAAAACTTCACTAAAACATAACATGATTATTGTCTGCCAATCAAAATTATGGAATCTTTATGAAGCTTCTATATAATGTTAGGATAAACTGTTGACACAGAGATATGTCTCCCCTGTCAGCAAAAAAGTTTGTACAAAATTCAATGATGAACAGCAACATTGCAAATCAATTCAAATTGCTGGGCTATAAAATATACAGGGGGCAGGGCCTCGAAAAAGTCGTAAAACTGATATGTACTGATGGTAATGCAACTTTTCAGAAAATATCATTGATATTCACAAGTAGTTCCTATCAGTCAGACTTAAGCAGAAAAGTTCACAAATTTTGATGTATCCTCTACCGTTCCCTGCAGCCAACGCCACCGGAAAAGCATCACCTATGTTGCTTTTCATGAACAGTTATTGAAGAAAGACAACTTGAAAAGTAATAAGATTGTGATTGATTATTCCTGTTATCAATAAACAACTTCAGTGTCCCACATTTAAGAATTGAATGCTTCTTTTTGTAACTTCATTGGGGTGTAAAAGCTTTGACCGAAGTACATTTTGTATGAAGCGCCGAAGCTCTTCATTCTAAAAATGTGCCCACAGTCAAAGCTTTTACAACTCTATGAAGTTACAAAAAGAAGCATTCAATACTTATAATTACATTTTTTAGCTAGGATCATGAAAACACGATTTTTATCAAGTTTTTATTTAATTTACCTTTGCACTTTATTGTGGGACCTTGTGTCATCATGAATGATAAATTTTATTGTGTAATGAAGTTGATTAAGGAATAATGCGAGATTGCTGTGTAGCCAATCAGAATAACGTATCATAATGAAACATACATCTAATGTAATTATTGAGATTTACAAATACATTAAAATTATTGACTCTTTATCAAAACAAATATCTTGTTACTTGAAATTGAATAGGAATATCATATACCCACTTAAAATATGCTTTGACAGAGCTCAGCAATAACCACTTGTATCATTAATTTCCCTCAAGGCATTTAAAAGATAAAATACTTTGTTAAATTGGATACATTAGGAATGAACCATTTCTGTGACCCTGGCAGTAGTGATTTTTTTTTTTAAACAGGGAAATGGTAAAACTTTAATTTTACTTATTCATGCCATTATACTTTTATAAAATATGTTATATACAAATTTGCAAGAAATTGTATGCACCATTATAATGTTTAAGGCAAAATCCCAAGAAAAATGAAATCTGGTAAAATGTGAGGACAGAAAACTGAAGCTTAAATTGAACATTGGGATCACTATAAAATTGATTTTCATATTGATTATCTTTTAATAATTTTTCTCACTAGTACTGCTACCATGGTTATCGAGGACTTTTCAAATGCTTGTTTTTAATCAAAAAATCTTTATAAAAAAGAAAAATGGTCATAGGGGTGGTTAGTTCTCTAAACTTAACATGTATATCAAATTTTTTACCCTACCTGATTTTCCTCAGCTGCAGAAATAAAACCTGTCTGTGGTTCAGTGACTTCAGTCTACAGAAGAAACAAAATAAGATATTAACATGATTAATAAAAGAAGAAACAAAAGTTGCAGTCAATTATTTCAACCTAAATTTGTTTGATTCTGTTCCTGTGAATCAAATAAACGGTATGGGTTTTTCTCATTGTTGAAGGCAGTATGGTGACCTAAAATTGTCCACATCATTTGAGTTGTATAGTTGTCTCATTTGCTATCATACAAAATCTTCTTTTTTTTATATAGCATAGTTGTCACATATTATTACACTGTGGTCAATGCTTTCATAAAAGTGATTGTGTTGGGGTAAGGGTTAGATGGTACTTCTGTAGTTTAACATGTTTAAGGAGGTGTTTAAGGATGTTCGCTCCTCCTGTTTCTGATTTTTTTGTCAGATTTTCAGAATCCTCTAGCTTTAACTATGTAGTGCCGTATAAAATTTTGCCTGCTAGCCCAAACTTTTCTTTTCATATTTTGATTACATATAGTTTAAAAAGCCATTTTTGTAAATCTTATAAAATCCCTGTTATTTGTTCATAGTTTATGAAAGAAAAAAGATTCTAATGTTAAATGTATGAAAAATCTAGAGAGAATCATTTCCCGCTAAATTTAAATGGCTAATATCTAGAAAACAAGCAGGTGGAACCTACATTTTTTTCTGCTTTTTTAATTCCTTCATTTATATACTATCAATTTATTACATTCTTTCAAAAGCTTGTAATTTTGAAACAGAGTAGCAAACATCCTTAAACAAATCAGCTGAAAGAATTGAAGTATAGGAAAAAATTATTCAAAAATCAAATTCTAATGAATGTTACCCGAACTATCAACTTATCCATTGTTATCTGTCCTCCTTCTGAGTACATTCATTTATTGAATAGCCTATATATATATATAGCTATTCCTTATATTGAGTACAAAAATACATGCATGTAAATGGACTCAGTTGAAAAGTCTAAGAAGATTTTATAGTTTTATGTACTTAATTTGGGTTTTGTAATTATCATATATGAAAACAAGAAGTAAGGATATACATCTGTAACAGGAGAACATGACTTCAAAATATAAAAAAAAACACTGTCTACTCTGGAAATCATAAACTGTTATCACAGAGATATGTCTCGCCTTTTTGTAATTTTGATAATGCAAATGTAAAAGTTTCAAAGTCAATGAACCATGATCAGGGGTGGGGCTATATAATCTCCATGGAAACGATACTTGCAAATGCCAATAAAGCATACCAAATATCAATGACTTAACATTAGCAGTTCATCTTAAACTGATCTAATCACAAACTAATACATGTAAACTAAGCAAAAGTTTTAAAGTAAATAGACCATGACTGAGGGGACGGGGCCAAATATTCTCCATGGAAATGAGATGTGCTAATGCTTATACAACTGAACACCAATTAACATTGGCCTACCACTAATGATTCCACTTGAACTGACCTAATCACAAACTAATACATGTAAACTTAGCAAATTTTTCAAAGTCTATAGACCATGACTAAGGGGGCGGAGCCAAACAATCTCTATGGAAATGAGGTATGCCCATGCTTATACAACTGCATACCAAATACCATTGACCTACCACTAGTGGTTCCCCATAAATTGACCTAATCACAAACTAATACATGTAAACTATGAAAAGTTTCAAAGTCAATCAGTCAGAGATATAACTCTATAGGGTTATTACAGAAAATAACTTGCATGTGTTATTACAGATACTTTCATGAGTTGTCTCCTCTTTATTCCTTAAATTTTCTAAATCTGTAATAACATATGTTTGTTATTTGTAAAATAAATCAAAAATATTCTAATTTATAATGGGCTCTAGGGAATTCTGGAGACTTTGCGCAGAAACTAAATGCATAGCCTTGATAATTAATTTTTTAATTAAATTAATACACTTTTGATTAACCATGGTAAATCAATGAGATGAGGCTTTTAAGGGATAAAGTTAGCTGTAATAACATAGCTTAGTTATTAAAGGAATGTAACCTATTATATGAGACACTTGGGAATTACTGGGAAGCTTGCGCAGAACCTCATTACATGCTCTGGTCATTATTTCTTACAATAAATTAAAATTCATTGTAATTAAGCATGATTTACGTCTGAGAAAATGCTTTGGAGTGATATAGAGAAGCTGTGATAACACCCTTTAGTTATTACAGGCATATTTTTTCTGTAATAACATATAGGTGTACTTTGCAAAATTGGCAAACTATGAACTGTTATATCTTTCTATAGTTAAGTATACATAAAGACAATAGTAATATCAATAGAACTTGTATGCATTTTAACTAAACTAGTGATTTATATTTTCCCTTTGAAACATGTAACATACATATGTTATCACAGTTCTTTGATTTTTTAGTCCACAATAACAAATGTATGTTATTTTTCTGTAATAACCCTATAGAGTTATATCCCTGACTGTCAATAGACCTTGACTGAGGGGGCGGGGCCAAATAATCTCCATGCTCCATGGTAATGAGATGTGCCAATGCTAATACAACTGCATACCAAATATCATTGACCTACCACTGGTGGTTCACAATGAACTAGACCTAATCACAAACTAATACATTGTTGACGCCGCCGCCAAAAACTAGGACCACTGTATTCCAAGTCAGTGATCAAACTGACTGAGCTATAGAAGTTCTTTAAAAGTTCAACAGATTACAGCTGGATTTATAAGTATCTTCTTCTCAATGGAGAAATCTGTCACACTTCACAACCTAGAGTCTTCATACCATTATAATTTGACATAACACCAACCATGTCAAGATGTCTTTCATATCAACTCAAACCACTGTGAGTTTCTTAGATGGGCACAAAATATGAGCATGATTCTCAAGAGAAAATCAAAGCACTTTTAATTTGTATTTGGACTTTCAGTACTCTTACCACACTCATGTTATGTCCTTGTTTTGTATACCACTCTGACTCTAAATTAAACTTATATTCATTTACACTGCTCAAGAGAAACATCCATAGACCAACTGACTACCACAGTCTAAGGTATCCATTACTAAAGGGGAAAAATCCCCTTGGCTTACATATCAATTAGGGAGTAGAGCCTTAAAAAAAATCATTGACGAAAAATTATCAAAAATTATTTGTGGTTTTTTACAGTCTAAAGTTTTTTTTTTCAGAAAACTCTGGAGGCTCTTTCCACTGAAAAAACTACAATAACAATTCATCTACATTTTACTTTCAAGATTTTGCGATCTGTGATTGATATATTTTAATTGTGTGTTCAACAGATCTTTATGTCAAAATTAAAAGACTGATGTATTTTTACTATTACAATTTTGTATTTAAAAAATCTTAACTTAAAAACAGAAATTTTTTTTTAACACTAATATCACTTTTCCTACCTTTATTTCTTCACGATTTAGGTTTTTATCCTCAGGAACAACAAACTGCCCTGTGCCATGTGTCAAAGGAGAAACAGTATTATCCTCATCACCAACAGAAGACTGTGGTTTCTTCTTTTTACTTGTCAGTCTGTCAAATTCATCATCAGAATTTTCTGTTACTTGTCTCTTTTTACCTTTAGGTTGAACATCTATTTCTTCATCCGAATCTTCCACTAAAGTTTTACGTTTACTTGTTCTCATCACATTTGCACCTGTATTATTTTGTTCATTATTATCTGCATCACCATCACCCATATGTTTTGATTTTGATCTGGGTGCTGGTGAAGCTTCGTGTTTGACAGGCTTTCTTTGACTAGACCTAGGTTTACCAACATGAAATTCTTCATCAGAGTCTGACATATTTATTGATACAGATGCTGCTTTTCCTTGTTTTCCTTTAGCTTTTGTATTAAAACTTGGAAACCCGTCATCTGAATCAGAATTTGCAGATGAAGTTTTTGGTGACTTCTGTTTGTGTGATTTCTTTTTACTTCGGAAGTCTGGAAATTCATCGTCAGAATCCTGTACAATGACACGATGCTTATTTTTATTTTCAGTTTCATCATCAGAGTCCTCAATAATTTCCTTCTTGACTATCCCTGCAGATTTATTTTGCCTCTTGGATTTTGGACTAGGTGATCTCTGTGATGTCTTTTGACTCTTAGGTGAAATATTCCTTTGATCCCTTGGTGGGGACCTAGTTACAGGACTTGGTGATCTCCTTTGTGACATTCTATGGTTACTACTTTCATTTACTCTTCGCACTGGAGTAACTATTTCTTGTTTCACTTTCTTTTTCAATGGTGTTACTTCCTGGATTTCCTCCTCTTCATCAATTCTACCCCTATTACAACAGAATTTCAATAATGTTATAGAAAATAAGTCTTCTCAAATATAATACAAATTGTCAAAATTAAATTATTTGGGTTATATTTGAGCAATTAATCATTTTTTGTGTAAATAATTTTTTTTACTCACAAGACCTTTTTATTATTTGAATTCTGCAAACTGAAGTTTGAAGCATGCAATTTAAAAAAAAAACTGTAATCCTTACAACCAAACAATAATGTCAGATAAATTGAAACTAAAATATCTAACTTTTATATCCCTCGCTGGTAAAAAGTATGCTAGTGACATCGATCTATTGAAAAAAATACAAATGTTAAATCTAACAGATGCCTATTGCAATGCCTAAAACTAGTCCTATGATCCAGCTGACCAAAAACTGCAGAAACCTGATTTTTTACACAAAAAATCTAATTCACTATTGATTTGTCATATACAGTTTTGCTATCAGTGAAAATTGTGTGAGTCTTCCAAGGAAGATGTGTGTAGATTGTAGTCTACAATTAATATAAGCAGAAAGTCCATGTTTTTATATGGTTAAACCTTTAGAAATCACTCAGACTCTTAACTGACATAGCAGCTTCATAACTTGATGCACTGTAGAAGAATCTGTTCAAGTTTAGTTGAATTCTAGCCAGCAGTTTTCAAAGAGTTGTTGGTTAACATAATGTGTGACAAGGATGACCATGCAATAGCACAGAAGTGATCCCTATGTGTTGCCAGGGACAGCTTGTCACCACCAAGCAGCAAATAAATTTCCAATCACAAATATTATGATATAGTAACAATTGGTCCTGTGGTTTCAGAGAAGATCTTTAAAAAATTTACACCAGACAACAAATGCAATGGGATGACAAAAGCTCACATGGCCTTTTAAAAAGAAAATTTCACTGCATTAAAACCTAATGATATTCTTATAAAGCATTGCCAATGGACAACCAGTATACCCCCTCCTGTGGTGCAAGAGTACAATTAGAAGTCTTAGAGCTATTTCTGTTAATTATTATGTTTTAAGTTAATGCAATAATACCTGTCTGAATTGAACCTACTTAGGATTGAACATTTTGTTATGATTAGACAGGTCATTTATATTTATAGGACTGATTAAATTATTTATAATATTTCAAGTCCTGATACAAGAGATCAGTTGAATTGTCAGGATTCTGATGTATTTAGGGCTAAATCAAGAAAGATTTCATTGTAACATTACCTCTTATTTGACCTCTGAGACCTTGTACTGTCTGTCGTCTGCTCTGGTGCTTTACTTTTTGTCTGTGAACTTTCCTGTTTAACCATTGTCTTTTTAGCAGGTGTCTTATCCTTCATATAAAAAAACTTTTTTGATCAGTAAAATTGATTTGTGCTTTAAAAAATTGGTTAAACCCTGATAATTCCTCAATGAGATACATTTTTTACCTTTCTTGCTGATTTGATGGGGATGTTTTTTTGTGATTTTTTATTGCTGTTGTTTTATTCTTTTACGAGAAGATCCAAGTTTGACATACTGTGTATTCAATATTCTTGTAGGATTACAATTTTCTTGGATTTAGCAGATAAATATGTAAACCACGAATGTAATTGTTCCAAGAAGTACAAATTTAGGGATCATAGATTTATTCTTATGAGGAAGCTCCGAGCATGCTCGGAGGATGCTCAGAGCTTTTTCAGTAGGCTCTTCTCTGCAGTTTATGTGAAAATAATTATCATGATCCATTAAGATGTCAATCAAATCTACACCACTTCTATAATAAGGAAAGTAGAGCATTATAGAGGAAGCTCAATTAACACCTGTGTAAACATCTAATCTATTCAAATACATTTTGCCTGAAATTTTACAAAACTATAGAATAGATTAGAAATTCTTCAACAGTACTGTGTAATGCTTGGAAAGAAATCTCATGTCTCCACAAAAAGTGAAAGTCTTTAACAAAAAATATACAATTATTATATTTTTAAAATAATCATTTCTTTTTTTATAATAAAAAAAATTCTCAAATTTTATAATTAGATGATATGATTTAAATATAGTTTATATTATATAATATGCTACATAAAAGTTATCAAGACACAAACAACAGTCAGGGGGCGATACTAAACAAGTTATTTTTTTTAGTTACTTATATTAATAGGTATTTTTTGTTTTTTTAAATTATTTGATATAATCTCAATTGTTATTTTAAATGTCAAAAGTGGACTAAATGTAGTTTTTAAGAATTTTTATATCATTTCATTAAGTAAAATTAAGTATTTATCCAACTTGAGATGAGTATAGAGAGATTACTTTAAAAATAATGACAAAAATATTACTTTTATAAATTATTTTATACATCTTCGAAAAACTAAGCGAAAAACTAAGCACAATTATTTAAGGAACATATGTAATTGTTTTTGATAAATATTTCAAATTATAAATAACTTCAAGTCTTAATTAAATCACAAGGTTCCATCCATTTATATTTGTTCATCTCTAAGATTTTGAAGGAAAATGTTATTTTAATAGCCCCAAGAGACCAATCTATGACCAAGAAGTGTGGCATCAGAAAGGCAATTAGTGTTTCAGGAGGATTTAAATAGTTTTATACTGCATGGGGAAAATAACCAGATGTGAAAATTTGTTAAAGCTTGTAAAACCTGTATGAATGGACACCTATAGAAATAATATTAACAGAAGTTACTTATTCATGATATATAAGTAATATTTGAAACAACCTTGTTTTCAATATAACTTGTATAGGTTATTTTGAAAATTACTAGTTTAAGTAATGCCCTTAACTAAACAATGGTATTTTTGTCGAGCCTTCGACGTTTGTCGAAAAAGCGAGACATAGCGATCCTACATTCCGTCGGCGTCGTCGGCGGCGTCCACAAATATTCACTCTGTGGTTAAAGTTTTTGAAATTTTAATTTCTTTCTTAAACTATCCTTGATTTCTACCAAACTTGGACAGAAGCTTGTTTATGATCATAAGATAGTATCCAGAATTAAATTTTGTAAAAAAAAAAATCCTGTTTTTCCGTATTTTACTTATAAATGGACTTAGTTTTTCTGCCAGTTAACATGACATTCACTCTGTGGTTAAAGTTTTTAAAATTTTAATAACTTTCTTAAACTATCCTGGATTTCTACCAAACTTGGACAGAAGCTTGTTTATGATCATAAGATAGTATCGAGAAGTAAATTTGTAAAAAACAAAATTCCATTTTTTCCGTATTTAACTTATAAATGGACTTAATTTTTCTGCCAGTTAACATTACATTCACTCTGTGGTTAAAGTTTTTAAAATTTTAATAACTTTCTTAAACTATCCTGGATTTGTACCAAACTTGGTTAGAAGCTTGTTTATGATCAAAAGCTAGTATCTTGAAGGAAATTTTTAAAAATTTTGTACCTGTTTATCAGTATTTTACTTATAAATGGACTTAGTTTTTCTTCCAGTTAACATTACATACAGTCTGCAGTTAAAGATTTAAAACATTTATTAGATTCATAAACTATCCTGGATTTTTACCAAATTGGGACAGAAGCTTCTTACAATCAAAAGATTGTATCAAAAGTAATATTGTTATTATTTTTTTTCCTCATTTTTGTTGAGCCTGCGATTAACAGCAAAAGTAGGCGAGACACTGGGTTCCGCGGAACCCTTACGAATTTTTTTTTATAAAATAGCAAAGTTAGTTTTTTATATAAAATATTTTTGCAATTTTAGGGGACATGGCTACTAAAGCTTGTAAACAGAGAAAAAAAAAGGGGGATAGAATTTGGTTGGTTAATTCTGGTGATGTCTTCTTTCTTATATGCACTGAAAAATTATGTTGTTTTATTACTATAGTCATGATAGTACAGGACAAGAAAAAACTTTACTCATGTCAAGTATTTCTTTATTTAAAACATAGATAAATTCTGCACATATTTTTGGAAAAATACCAATTAAACAAAGACTGATAGGGGGAAACAATTTTATATTAGATTTTCATTCAAGTACAGGTCAGGATAAAACTTCACTTCTTTATTTAAAATAAAACCAAATCTGCACAATTATAAAAAAATGACAATTAAAGTGAGACGTACTAGAGGGAAAACAATGGTGGTATTACCTCATCAACCTTTCTAAGAGTAGCCATAATTTTTTTTATTAAAAACTAACTTTGCTATTTTATAAAAAAAAAAAAATTATCATTGTTTTAATAGTTAGGGGCATTACTTAAACAAGTAATTTTCAAAATTACTTATACAAGTTATATTGAAAACAAGGTTGTTTCAAATATTACTTATATATCATGAATAAGTAACTTCTGTTAATATTATTTCTATAGGTGTCCATTCATACAGGTTTTACAAGCTTTAACAAATTTTCACATGTGGTTATTTTCCCCATGCAGTATGAAACTATTTAAATCCTCCTGAAACACTAATTGCCTTTCTGATGCCACACTTCTTATGGTCATAGATTGGTCTCTTGGGGCTATTAAAATAACATTTTCCTTCAAAATCTTATAGTTGAACAAATATAAATGGATGGAACTTTGTGATTTAATTAAGACTTTAAGTTATTTATAATTTGAAATCTTTATCAAAAACAATTACATATGTTCCTTAAATACATGTAATTGTAAGTATGCTTAGTTTTTCGAAGATGTATAAAATAATTTATAAAAGTAATATTTTTGTCATTATTTTTAAAGTAATCTCTCTATACTCATCTCAAGTTGGATAAATACTTAATTTTACTTAATGAAATGATGAAAAAATTCTTAAAAACTACATTTAGTCCACTTTTGACATTTAAAATAACTATTGAGTTTATATCAAATAATTTAAAAAAACAAAAAATACCTATTAATATATATTAAGTAACTAAAAAAAATAACTTGTTTAGTATCGCCCCCTGACTGTTGTTTGTGTCTTGATAACTTTTATGTAGCATATTATATAATATAAACTATATTTAAATCATATCATCTAATTATAAAATTTGAGAATTTTTTTTATTATAAAAAAAGAAATGATTAATAAATATAATAATTGTATATTTTTTGTTAAATGACTTTCACTTTTTTGTGGAGACTTGAGATTTCTTTCCAAGCATTACACAGTACTGTTGAAGAATTTCTTATCTTTTCTATAATTTGTAAAATGTCATGCAAAATGTATTTGAATAGATCAGTTGTTTACACAGGTGTTAATTGAGCTTCCTCTATAATGCTCAACTTTCCTTATTATAGAAGTGGTGTAGATTTGATTGACATCTTAATGGATCATGATAATTATTTTCACATAAACTGCAGAGAAGAGCCTACTGAAAAAGCTCCGAGCATCCTCCGAGCATGCTCGGAGCTTCCTCATAAGAATAAATCTATGATCCCTTACACAAGTTACTATGCAGATTTAAGACTTTGACAAAACCATGAAATAAAAATATCCATGAAAATATAAGCTTTCCTCAATCAACAAAAAATTGGTATCCACAAAAACTAATGAATCCATGGTATTTGCAATAATTTATAGAAATCAATTTTTTCTGCTCGTGAAACTGTTGGTTTACAGTTATTCTGTTTGCCACTGCTAGCAACTGTTTTAGCATTGCGGTTATATGAAATCTTTTCTGTTCTTTGTTGATAACTTTCCAGCCATTATCATGATGAAGAACAACAATGAAGAGCTGTTCCTCTGATATATGAAGGCTTGAATGGAGGCGTCTTCATTTTTAGTATTCTTTATTTGTTTTTTCAATTTTTCTCTTTTCTTTATTTTTTTGTCCACAATTCTCTATTCTTCTGTGTATCTAAGCACCCCATGTAATTATTCTTCATTTTTTTTCCAATTATTTTCTATTTGATTGATAGTTGATTGCACCCTTCACCATTTCCCCTTTTTATAGCCTACATGCACAAGCTTTGTCAAAATACAATAATATTCAATTTTCTTTTCTTTTTACATATTTGCAGCAACAGTTGACATATGCATTCCGAGTAACACATGTGAAAAATTTGAAATCAGTTTTCATATAATATCAAGATAACTGATATTACCACATTACATGTGTAATAACAAATAATAAGGGACTAATATCAAAATCTGTATCTATTTCATTGCAAACCTGTTTGTCAAATTTGGTTTCATCCAACACAGCTTCACATTTCTTTTTTCTTACTCTTGTAGGTGACCTGCAGAAAATCAAACATAGTAAATCAAACTTCTGTCAGGGCAAAGATGAAACTATAACAAACGATCTCTTGCTTTTATGAGATTTTGATAGTATAATGCTTATGTTGAAATTAAAATGGCAATACTTTATTATGTAAACTATGCAAAACATTTGAAGTCAATCTTCCATGGCAATATAACTTTTTTGTGCTGAGGCTGCATAAAGTAAAGTTAGCAAACATCAATCAATCAGAGTCAATGAACCATGACTGAAGGTGCAGGGTCAAATATCCTTGATGGAAATGAGAAATGGCAGTGCTATTACAACTGCATACTAAATACCATTGACTTATCATTAGTGGTGCCCTTAAAACTGACCTAAACACAAATGTTGGCATGTAAAGTATGCAAATGCTTTAAAGTCAATAGACCATGACTGAAAGGGCTGGGCCAAATAATCTCTATGGAAATGAGATGTGCAAATGTTAAAACAACTGCAGACCAAATAACATTGAACTAATCACAAATTAATACAGTGTTGGCACTTCCTAACCTGACACCACATTTTTGGCAGTTTTGGGGTGTGATTTCAATGCTGGCTTCTAATATGTCAGAAACAAAAATTTGCTTTGATATGACCTTTAACCTTACCTGTCAGGTGAAACTTCTGTGTTAGCAACCAAAACATCTGTATTCGAAACTGACTGAGAGGGAACATGACGCAAAACTGGATCATCTGTGAATACAGAAATACAATTCTAATTAAGAAATAAAGAATCTTTATAATATTTGAAGATTATGTATAATAAAATCATACAATAGACTAAACATGATTTAGAGCTTGGCCTATTGTATAGTCAACTGTCTACTGTTTGCCATCTATAGATGTCTTTTGGATATATTTGTGTACCTTTGTTGCTGTCTCATTATGAAACACTCAACATCTCATTATATTCATTTCTTTGTGTACTATGATAACTGATTGCACACAAGTTGAACTATATGCCTGTCATATATTGTGAATATCCACTAACATTTTATTAAAGCTTGATAGATGGAACAAACTGAATTTTTGTTCCAAATTTGCAAAAATTAGTTTAGAATTAGTCCTGAAGTACAGGTTGTACTGTTCCCCTCTTCCTTATTTTAAAAGTCAATTTAATATCTTATTAAGGTGGTACAAACACTGCAGGGAGATAACTCTGTAAAAATCACCTGAACGTTTTAATTACATTCTATTGTTAAGGAAGTATTAAGCTTCACAATGATCAAAATTAGTGTTTGTCAAAATGCTATATATCCAATGAAATTTTTCCGATAAAGTGTGTGGTTGGGGTTTTTTTAAATTTTTATATTATTGTCAAAGGGTCAAAGTAAATATTTTGTCAAAATTTTATGAAAATTAAACGAGCAAAATTAAGTTTAGTCAAGGTGTTTTGTACCACCTTAAGAATAAAATATATTGCTTTTTTCATAATCATTAAAGAAGAACTGAATATATCTAAATAAACTCATCATAGATACCAGGATTGAAATTTTGTATTTGCACCAGAAGCATGTTTCGTCTACAAAAGACTCATCAGTGACGCTTGAATCAAAAAAAGTTAAAAAGGCCAAATTAAGTACAAAGTTGAAGAGCATTGAGGACCAAAAATTCCTAAAAGTTTTGCCAAATACAGCTAAGGTAATCTATTCCTGAGGTAGAAAAACCTTAATATTTTGAAAATTCAAAGTTTTGTAAACAGTTAATTTATAATTATGACCATATCAATGATAATTCATGTCAACACAGAAGTGCTGACTACTGGGATGTTGATAAAGGATCTTTGGAACTCAGATGCATATATATTGCAAGTGCTTTTTTCTCTAGTTCATCATATTCAGCTAAATTTGAGTTTTTATAAGTCTATTTCATGATATCCATCAACTCTAGTAATACATGTAGTTATCGCTATTTTGTATAATTTATAAAAGGTGTCATTAATGAACAAGGGGGAGACAACTTATGTTTAGTGAAGTTATAAAAAACTGTACTTTTGGTGTGTGTTTGTGATGGAAAAACCAAAATTCCCATTGGAACCAAGACAAGGACATCCATATTCAAAATACCTTCATATTAGCAAAATCATACAGTTACTTTTGAATTCACTTTTATAATAAAATGGATAATATTCAAAGAGAAATTTTCACTAATTTCATGATTAAAATAAAATCTTGCAAACATGTATGAACCATTTAAACTGTGTGAAAATAAAACCACTTTACTGTACTTTATTAGAGATTCTCAAAAAATTCTCAAAAACATGAATGAGCAAAGGGAGAATATTCCTCTGATTTTCCCAGTTTGAAAAAAAGTCTTTAATACTTACCATTATCTTTATTGGGATTACAGTGTTTCTCTGTAGAACAATACAGTACAGCAAATCCTATTTCAGCATCTTGTATCATGTGTTTCTTGTGCCTATAAGATAAGAAAGTTAAATAAAGCACAGTTGTCTTCACTCCTACTTTTATATAGTAATTAGCTATAAAAGGCATGTTGTCTGCTCTAGACAGGCTCTTGTGTTCTGCATCTGTTAGGCTTTTACAGATAGTAGGTTCTGAAACTCTTTTCACAAAAATCCATCTATTTTGATTAAAATTGATAATAATTTGTATTGAAATGTTCATGACTTATTTATAATTGTTTTGGTTGGAAAGGCTGCTTGTATTTCCCCTAACTTCTGAGGATTTAGTGATGCTTCAGCTTTAGTTTTCTGTGTAGTGTTCAGTAGTAATTGCTTTTCTTTATGTAATATTTGCTTTTGGCCATGGTATTGCCCACTTTCTTCGACTTTTGGTTCTCCAATTCTTCTTTTGATATCTTTTTCCTTTTTTTACTTCTTGAGAAAAACCTGAACAAGGAAAACTGTTCCAAATTTCTTTTAGAAGTGAGTCACAGCTGGGTAAAGCTTGATAATGCAGTATCAAACTGTGACTTCCTTCCACAAAACTTTTTGTACATGCCAAACCGAACTATACTTATTTCCACAAGAAAGTGTGTACGTGCAGTAGAATGAGGTCACTTATCTCTAGAGGAAAACTTGTGCATCAAGTATAAAAAAGAAGATGTGGTATGATTGCCAATGAGACAACTCTCCACAAGAGACCAAATGACACAGAAGTGCCTATTTGTAGTTATTTATTCATGAAAGCTTACACAAACAGTCTCTTAAGGCCACTTACTTCCTGAGGAAAGCTTGTACATGCAGTACCCAGTTATTACTATCTTGTGACATCATCTGTGTACATTGGTTAGGTTCACATTGCATTACAACTGACCCTTTCTCTACCAACATAGTATCTTTCTGCCATTTCTCTTCTAATAACACAGGAAGTCCCCCACCTAACTCTACTGCCAGGTTCATCTTCTTAAACTAAGAAATCAAAATGAAATTAATTAAATGTTAAAAATTTTATTAAAATGTTAACACAAATGTATATGTACACTGTATTGCTAATCTAGTATCTATAGTTAGAAACATTGGGCATATGCTCTGATGAAAATGTTTTTTTTCTCTTATGATTAACAGTAAAGTCAATTCAGAAAATATTGCAATGTTTGTATTAATGCAAAAAATGTGACAGTATCAGGTTTGCAATAACAAAAACATGCATTCATAATTTCAGCAAAAATTCAGAAATGGTTTCCCTAAACAAAATTTTTGCAATTGCATTAATTAGATTTTGCGATTTTACCAGTTATCAGGGAATTTAATAATAAATGCATCTTTTTCTGAATTTACAGTATCTTCTAGTTACAAGGACCTTCTAGTCACAAAGTGGGGCAAGTTTATCATAAAACGAAATGTTTACCATAAATACGTCAAATACAGCTTATTTTATACAATCTTGATAATCATCAAATGTTGACCTCTTTACTCAGACTTTCAATAAAGTAAAAATATATCCTCAAGTACTAGTGGAACCACATCCTATGTCATCTATGTATTTATTAATATTTTTTCAAAAGAAGATTTTTAGTGGACTATATCTTATAAGGAACAAGGTAACATTCCTCCAAAAAACTTGCCAATTTTCAAAACCCAGTGAAACATCTTGCATGTAAACAGCTAAAAGTCCAATAAAATATTACAAACTTCAACAAAGTTAGTTTTATGGGGATGTGAATCACTGCATTATATCTTTAATAATTCTGCTTTATAGCTGAATTTTATTTCCTAGCACTACCTGTTTTTCATTTAGAAATATGAACTTCATTCCCTGGAAGATGTTTCTCCGCTTGGGTACCACTTTAAATGATACTTCATCAGTTTCAACTTGTGTTTCTGTGATAACTGGTAGGAACCTGGTAAAAAAGAAAATCAATTATACTGATACAACTATGTCAGTCAAAGTTGACTTTCAATGGTAAATTTTTATGTCAGGCCAATTAATTTTCTGCTCTCAAACGTTTTCTACTTTTGATTTTCATTGTGCCATTGGCCTCAACCTTTTACTGACAAAGGTTATTCTAGAAAATGAGTTGTGCATATAGAAATTATATATCTTTTGTCCTTCTTGTAAGGGATGGGATTGAGGTTTACATTTTGAAACCTGTCTGAAATAAAACCCTGTTGGTGCTCAATTTTTGGGTTCAAATTAGAATATTCAAGGCTTCCACAGGTTAAAATCAATAAAAAAATACTAATCATATGAGTTCAATTAAGGCAGGTATCCAGTTTAAACTAGGTTCAGTCTAGATAGGTTTCATTGTACTTTTACACATTAATTAGTGATTTGATAATGGAGACAATTAGGTGATTGAGTATACTCTTCTTCATGACTTTCTGCATAGCTGTCAACTGACCCGTATTCTGCGGGTCACACCCGAGAATTTCTCCCTTCACACAGGATTTTTTAAATACCAGCCTGGTATTGAAATAACCCGGGATTTCAGAAAATGACCCGTTTTTACCTGTATTTCTGACCGGTCTTGTTTCCGGTATTTAGATTGATTTTAATGATAAATATTTATATACTTTACAAATACAAAAGTGAATATTTTTAGGAAACTCAGTGGTATATGTATATGTTATGTAGTATATAAAAAAAAAATCTCAACACTAAAATTGGACCGAAAAAGTTCGTACGCGTTATGACCTGACATTTTTTTCTTCAATGCAGGTCATGACCTGTATTTTCAGTTTCAGAGGTTGACAGGTATGCTTTCTGACCCCAAAATAATTTCAAAATAGAATCAATTACAATCTTTTTATGTCTTTGTTTGTATTGACTCTTAAGTTTTATGTTCTTGATAATGTCTTTGCTTTGGAATGCTTGTTTTGTTTTGCTGGCTCCAGATTTTCCCTATTTTTTCAGGTGATCCACTTCATAAAGTTATTTTTACTACTACATTTCTGTCAATTAAACAACTTACTGGTCAGGATCTGGTTGTCCACTTTCTCCTCTCAGATAAATAATGTATTTTTCCAGGTAATCAGGTGTAACAATATTTTTCAAAGACAATAGAGCACACACAACCTATAAATAGAACACACAACCTATAATCAGAGCATACACAACCTATAAATAGAGTAAAAACAACCTATAAATAGAGCTCATACAACATATAAAACACATGTACAGTTATTTTAGAAAAGTATTTTTCCAATTCAAGAAATTGATATTTTAAAAAAATATTTATTGATATACTACAGAACTCATACATCTGTCTTCAATGATATAATTTTTACAACATTCTATGGAATGCAACCACCAAGGATTAATTAATTTGTGTGCCTCTGAACTTCCCCCCACCCCCCTGTCAGATTTAAGATTTCTTTTCAAGGTTCATATGCTTCGCCAAGTACTTATACTTTGTACAAGAAATATTTTGCATGTCTTTAACATTTTTTTCTGATTTGCTTGCTATTTTTCAATGAAAGAACCTGAGTGAGCGCCCTCACATACCCCACTTCCCCACATTGTCATTGGAGAAATAAAATAAGTGTAAAAAAAAAAAATTGAATCATAATTTCCTGTCTATATGCACATCTACATAGTATGTCCTTATTATCTACACAGTTTCATGAAATTCTGTTGTGTGGTTTGAGAGGTGTTGCGATGACAAAAGGTTGCAGTAGTATATTGGGCAAATAAGTTCAAAGGGGCGTAACTCCTGGAAAAAAAATTGAATCATAATTTCCTGTCGATATGCACATCTACGTAGTATGTCCTTATTATCTGAAAAGGTTTCATGAAATTCTGTTGTGTGGTTTGAGAGGAGTTGCGATGATAAACTGTTGCAGTAGTACATTAAAGTAAATAAGTTCAAAGGGGCGTAACTCCTAGAAAAAGAATAGAATCGTAATTTCCTGTCGTAATGCACAACTACATAGTATGTCCTTATTATCTAAAAAGGTTTCGTGAAATTCTGTTGTGTGGTTTGAGAGGAGTTGCGATGACAAGAAACAGGACTGACGGACTGACGGACTGACAGACGGACGGACGGACGGGTCAAAAACATTATACCCCGCGCAACTCGTTGCGTGGGGTATAATTAGATTCACACCTTTTATTTCAAAAACTTAATGAAAACATCTACTGCACAGATGTTAAATAAGCAAGGCCTTATAAAATTGCTCCTTGGGGAATTTGTAAATAGGGTGTATCTAAAAAAAAAACCAGACAAATGAGGTTAAAAATTTAATTTTGATGGAATAGTATATTTTGCCATTTATTTATAGTAATATTGATACAGTTCCCCATACCTTGATAGTAACACTGATATTATTCATGACAAGCAATGTACACTCTTTCTTCCAGTCATTGACCATATGTCCACCAAGTATAATGATCCACTCTCTCACCTTCTTCTTTGAGGGTGGATCTAAACATGATGATGAAATGATGAATGGCTCGTAAACCAGTCTGAAATGTAAAAATTGAAATTCAATAGGAATTTACTTATATCTTATATCCCTGTCTGGTTCAAGTTATAAACATTAATTGCTTTACATTGAAGTTTGGATAGCAAACTAGATATTTTGATAGTTATTTACAAGATTTGGCGTTTGGTTTTCTCTTTGTAAGAGTTTGAAAATAGCGATGCATGGACAAGTTATCGTCAAATATGGGCTTGTAATGACTCCCTGTACAACTGGAATGCAACTTTGAAGCAATGCAGATTCAACAGTTTAGATGAAAACAATCAACAATAATGAAATAATCGTAGAAGCTTTAAAAGAGAGACAGGAACATGTTTTGAGAGTAAAATTGTGACTTACCATCGAAAACTTAATTGTACAACCAGTTTTTAGGTATTAAAATGAACTTACTGGTTTCCCGAAATTCTCTCTCTCATTTTCCCTCTTTGATAAGACTAATAGATTTTCGTTTGGGAACAGTTTTTGTTATATCAGGAGGAAAGTTGAAGATATTGGATTCACTACAAAATATTTCACAGTAGCCAGGCTGGCCATCGGGATAAAACATATTTGCCTGACCAAAAATATGATCGCCTCAGGCAACTGGGTGACCATTATGTTTAGTCCCTGCCATTTTGATCTTTTCTTTTACATTTCATCATTTAACCTTATCCCACTATATGCTATTTAATAAATTTGAAATGAGAAATCTTCATAGAAGATTTTAAACTCATTACTACCAAATGGAGTTTGGAGATATAAGGTTTTTGAAATTTCAATTCCTCAATTGTTGCTATGACCTTGACATTTGACCTTAAACTCACTTAGGATCTTTGTCAGATCATGGAGCATTATCAAACGTTTGGTAAAAGTTGGACATGTCGTTCAACAGATAACATCTGGAACAAAATTTTGCAAAATTTCAGTATAAGTCATCAACTCAGCCTAACAATAGCTGATTTGACCTTCACCTTTGATCCCAAAATCAATACAGGTCATTATCAATCCAAGTCTAATAAAGATATTCATATTGGCTCAATACATTTGCATTGAAACTGAAATATTGAGTTCTGGACCCCCTGACAGACTCACTTGGACTGCATTCCACTTTTTAGCTCGCCTAAAAAGTTAAGTCAGAAGATTGATGCCCAGTGATGACAATAGCTCGTCTTGGCCACATAGCTATATAGGTGTAACAAGGTGAGCAAATTCTTTTAATAAGTAAAACTTTTTGATGTAAGCAATGAGTCCTTATTTTATTTGTGTTCTTGGCATGTTGTTTCATTGACATACATGTATACACCCCACCTCTCCTGATATTCATTCTAAATATATATCTTTTAAAATGTTTGATATATATATTGAGATGCAAAACCAAAGTGTTTCACCAGTTAACTTACGTGAAAGTAGAACTATTTCCAAACGTAACCAAATCACCATCCTTTAATTCTGTATTCTTAATTTTATCCCCATTTACTGAAGTCCCAAACTTTGACAAGTCTGTCAAACTAACTGTTGGTAATTTTTCCGGGTTTGTCTGTAAAACAAAAGTATGATTAGTAAATGATACATGTACAACTAATGAAATTCTAATAAAAAAAACTAAGTCATATAGATAATTGGGATATTTATACATTATATGTAGATTCAAAATTCTGCATAGTGGTAGCAATGTTTGAAGATGGTATGAAGAAACTATTCAAAGATACCAGGTTTACACTTTGGTACACTTCTGGCAAGTTTCTTCTACAGAAGGTTCATCAATGACTCATGGTTAATCAATATTATTTCTTTAAGTGATCATCAATGTACTTTTTCTCAAAACATTTTAGGTGTATAACCATTAAAGAATTTAAATTGACTGTTTTCTTGTCACTGATGGTAGCATTGTTGCTGATTGGCAGTAATATCAAATAAAAAATTGCAACTCTACCACTCCAATGATAATTGTGGTCTTGTTATCAATTTTTGAGTTGTTTCAGAGTAGACATGTAAACTTTACAAAGGACTATAAATTGAAAAAAGATGCCAAATGATGAAAAGAAGCCTGGATTTTTTTGTGTCTTAGTGTAGACAAGTTATTACTTGTTAAAGAGTTTTTCAAGGCTGGAAAAATTAGCATGATTAGACATGTTAAAAGAAATCATCTTTTTTAAAGATTATGGTTGATTTCCATGATTTCTTAATTTTATATCAATTTTATATTTTGTTTTTTAATCTCAGGAAGAATAATATGCTTATATGAATACCATCACCATAATCAACATCCAATATTTGCCTTATTTCCAACTGATTGCTGTTATCTCAAAATGAAAATCACGTACAAACATGTATAGTATCTTCAATTTTTTACTTGAAATATTGGATATCTTCCTGAATATGCATGAAATATTTGCCACTGAACATTCAGAACACAGCAATCAATCAATCAGATTCTGGTAAAATTTTGCATACAACTTTGACTCGTTAAACTATAACTGAAAATGGAAAAAAATAATGCATTTATCTCTTTTTCATCTGAAATATTACTGATTGAATTCTTACAAAATAGGTGAACATTTGTATAGAAAGCACATAAGATCTGTGAAAAAACTTCTTAAATTTGTCTTAAAATGATCATACCTCTAATTTCTAATACATAGGTTTTTCTTGGAAAACTATATGTTGTTGATACATAAATTTCCATTTTTAATGATGTAAAATAATGATAGGGTTACCAACTTTGTTTTTACAGTATACATCATTCAAAGTGTTGTTCAATGTGAAATAATCCTAACGTCATCCCGTTGCAGGCAGTAAAATAATTTTTGACGTTTTTCACTACCAACTAGGTAACAGATTGATTATTAGACAAAAAAGAAGTTGTGACCATATGATTATTTTATATCATTAAAACGGGAATTTATGTATCAACAACATATAGTTTTTTAAGAAAAATCTATGTATTAGAAATTAAAGAAATAATGATTTTAAGACAAATTTAAGAATTTTTTTTGTCGATTTTATGTGCTTTCTATACAAATATTCACCTATTTTGAAAGAATTCAATCAGTAAAATATCAGAAAATAAAAGTGATAAATTATTTTTTCGATTTTCAGTTATAGTTCAATAAGCCAAGGTTGTATGCAAAATTTTAGTAAAATCTGTGACATAGCCCATTTACTGTTCCTTGACCTTAAATAAAACATTCTAGGGAAAGTTCTATGAAACCATCAACTTACAATATCTGTTTCCTTGTGTACAAGTTCTATCTGTGCATGGTTCCTACTGACTGCAGCATCTCCAGCTATAAGTATATCACAATTCTTTCTACCAACCAGATACTTATGCCCAGTGAGGAGGGTATATTTCACATCTGAGAAAAATTAAATGCAAACTCAAGATTTTCATGTGCTTTTCTTATACATATACACAAGTAGTACATGTTTTTTATACATATGCTACAGTAAATTCAGAAATTGGTTGCTATTTTTTCATTGTTGCTAAAATAAAAATGGGAAAGGTTTAAATTTTAAATTCAACCACAACATGATGAATATGCAGCATTTTCTGAAATCCCAATAATTTATCTCACATTTTTTTTCTTATACATGTTATAAGAGCAACATCAATAGTAAGTCAGTCAGGGGTACTACTTGTACAAGTTAGTTTTATTTACTTGAAGAAGTAAATAATAATATACTTATATAAGTTAATTTGTTATATTCATATTTTCTTATAAAGTTTGAATAATCTCCTCTTAATTTTCTCAAAAAATTTACTTGTATAAGTATATTTTTTTTTAACAATCCCTAAAATTTTCAATTTTTGGGATGTAAAAACATGCCTTAAACAATTTTTCTCTGATTAGCTCATAATTTTTTATTACAGTTCAATGTTTCATATCATTAATTCAACAGAGAAACTAATTGCGCAAAGATCTTAAGTAATTGTGCAAGGCCTTTAAAAATTGCCCCTTGGAGGCTTGTAAATGAGCAGTGTTTTGAAGTTAACAGACAAATGAGATTTTCATTGTCCATGAAATTACACTTAAATGATAAGTAAAGACATCTGCAAAGGACAGACAATTAAAAATTCTATTAGAGCAAAGAAGTCCTGAGAAATTCAAGAAAAGAAGATAGTATGACTTTTTTACTTGTATAAGTAAAAAAATCTGAATGTCTAAGGGACATAACTAAGCCATTAAAATAATTTACCTATACAAGTAAATAAAATACACTTGTATAAGTATGTTACAATTTTACTTATATAAGTATATTAATATTTACTTCTTCAAGAAAATAAAAATAACTTGTACAAGTAGTACCCCTGACTGTAAGTAAGACCAATACCGGCTCTGGACCTGTGTCGCTACATGCAATTGATTGAGGTGACATGTATACTGAAGCATATAACTGATCATTCCCTTGAATACCATTGAAGTGAACTGCTTGTACAGTTCAATAGTTTGTGCACTTGCTAAATTTTTGTATTTCCTTAAACTTATACATTGTCGGATAAATTTTTGTATCTCCTGAAACTTGAGTTCTGATATTTTCTCAACAATTTGCTTGAAAACATTATAATTCTTACACTATAAAAAAAAATAATCTATCAAAAAAATAAGACTTATTCAACAATAATGAAATAATAAGCCGCAAAACAGTATGCATCCAGGTGCAGGATTTTGTCAATGTGTTAAAGACCCATTCAGTCAGAGCTCAGACATAAACAAGTCGTTTTTTGTTTTCGACTTACAGAAGTAAAAAAATGCATTTATCATAAAAATGTGTTTTCATTTTCAGACTTATTTAAGTCAGAAAATGACAGACTTGTTTAAGTCTATTTATGTTTATGAAAAGACTTAATTTTATTTGCTGGTCAAAGTACACCACCTATGACATCATAAACCTGTCTGAATGTTCACAAGGACATGAGCTATCTATATTTAATTATCTAATAGAACATTTTTACCTAACATAAGATTATTTTCCTCATTTAGTGTGGCTATAGATGGTTGCATTATAAAGTAAATAAACATTATTTCCGTTTTTTTAGGCTCTCATGCATATTTTTCTTTAGAAGACAAAGCATTGTCTTTCAATGTTGTCATAATTTCATATAGATGCATGACCTTTATATAAATATGCATGGGTCTTGAAGCTAGCCAATTTTGTTAACTTATCGACTTGTAGGAGTCAATATTTACAACTTTTTAATTTAGGTCAAATAATTCTTTCTAAACACTAATCGACTTATTGAAGTCATAAATTGTCTTAAATTAAAGGGAGACAAATCTTTGAATCTACAAATTTAGACCTCTATCAGTCAAAAGCAGATTTAGACTTATTTATGTCTGAGCTCTGACTGCCATTGGTGGCCTTGGGCTGTTTTCTGCTCTTTGGTTGGGTTGTCTCTTTGACATGTTTTACACATTCCCCATTTCCATTCTCAATTTTATTATTATGATGACAACTTCACAATCTTCTATACTTTTTAAATAAGCATGAAATAATGCAGGCTTCTTGCTTTAGGCCTGTAAAAATTTGGCCTGGAAGGACCATTCCAATCCATAAACCAACCTGTCAGTTGGACTAATCCTGAAAACACTGAGATGTTTTGTCATCAACATTAACCATCAGATATCATGGCTGACAAAAAACCCTTGAAAACTGTTTGTTGTAAGTATATTTTAACCGGAAATTGACTTTCGATTTTAATTCATTTCATTGAGTAAAGGTATATAAAGACAGAGCCAAAACTAAATGATGTTTTTACAATCACGTTATTGAACTACGCTTATGGGATCTATGTTTCTATGAGCAAATTTTATCTGGCAATTAAAATGTAAAAACTCAAAGGAAGAGAAAAAATTAGCAAACGTATTTAAAATGATATTAATTATGTTATGTAACACACTGGAAATAATGTAAAATTATTTAAGGTTAATAAGGTTTTTATTTTCTCATTTGGCAGAAGGAGAAAATGTTGAAAACAAAGTGAAACTTATAACAGAATATCATCAATATGAAATTGAAAACAAAATTTTAAAAAATTTGATTACGCGTACATTTCCATCGCTTGCATTTGGAGTAATTTTCATTGTGATAAAACTATGGAATTTGTTAATATGTGTCGTATTGTAAGAGGACTCTAACCTGGATTATCCAAAGATATCAGATACCACATTATGTGGTATCTTATCTGTATTTCTTTCGCAAAGGAAAACTATTTCCCGCTGTTATGGTATGTGCAGGGAAAAGAATCGAGTATAATGAGTTGTCTTGTCTTGTCTTGTCTTGTATGAAGATCCTGCCTTTCAAAGGCACACCTCTGGTTACAGAGTAGGATATGGTGTATTTAACACCCACTAAATGTTTATTACACTATTAAAATCTAAAACAAAAGATAATTTAGATTTTAAATATTCACGCCTTTGACTGAGTGGTTGCAAGCAATCCTTTCTTTTTATTCACCGGCAATGTTAATAATACTGTATTACGTCTAATGTGCAAAGCAAAGCAAAGTTTTCTACTTATGTATTCTACAAGATAAAGAAAATCTGTACATCCACATTTACATTGACAGTTACAGAGCTAGGCACTAGCATCCAATATTAGTTGTGTATTAATTTCTAGTTTTTCTAATGTTCTACATTTCGGACAGAGCTCGCTTTTATTGATAATATTTGAAAGTTCAAGCAGGTGATAGTTTCTAGCAGAAGCTAAAGCAGGGCATGAATGAATGAAATGGTCTAATGTTTCAGCGTCCTCCTCGCATAAGAGACATGTTGGGTTGATGTCAACTTGATTGAAAGCTGCTCTATTACATTGCAGAATGTATGTACCAGTAAGGAGTCTAAGTTTGATGGGGAGACGCTGGATGTCTTTTGCAGAAGTCTGGACACTTGCTAGAGCATTGTGTAGATGACCAGTTTTAAAATTGGATGTAGAAATAAATGAAATACTCTTGTAGTAGACAGACATGGTAATCACATGTTCAACCCAGAAGGTGTCAATCTCTTTCCTGATAGAGTTCTTCCATTTTAATTTTGGAGGTGGTTCATCTAAAATGTTAAAGATTGATGGTAGGCTGTATTTAATTAATAAAGATCTGATTTTTGTGAACCAACTGTCCTTTACGGCTGATGAGATGAGGATTTGTCTTTCTGCGACTTGTCTTTCTATACAGTTCTCTTGTCTTGAAATGTTTGCAAAAGTTCCCAAAGCTAGTTTATGGATTTTACTAATTACTGGAATCGTACCCGACAGTATATACACAGCCATGTCTGTTGTGTTAGTGGGGATAGATAGGATTTGTTTGATGCTTTTCCGATAAAAAATTTCAATTGGTTCCAGTTGTGTAGAATTTGGTAAAAGTATTTCTAGGCCATAAATGAGTACTGGTAGCACATAAACTTGGAATAATTGTAGGCATGCTACTGGATTAAGGCCGTTCTTGCCATGCAGGCCTGTCCCCATCAAACTGTACATTGTTCTCCTGTCTTTGTTGATGTTTTCCTGGATATGGATTGGGATGGTTTGCCGCGGGTTACTGCTGTGAGTAATTCCTAAATGTACAGCAGTTTCAGCATTTTGAATAGGTGTATCATTTAAAGTGAAATTGAAGTTATCCACTAATTTTGGTTTCCCAGTTTTTATATTAATGGCCTTTTGACTTCTACTTAAGTCGGCCGTGGTAGGCTATATCAGTCCCTTAAAGGTAATATCTGCCCAGTATAGTTACTACTGCTATCTTTAAGTTAAAATTGGGGTCAAAATTTAAATAGGAACTTTTAATAATATTTGAAAATGTAGTTCTATTATGCTTTTTAAAAAATATGATTAAAAGTATGGTCCAGAAGATTTTTTTAAGCTAGAGGTTGTGCAAAATTGTCAGATTTTGTATAGACAGAGACATATTGGTAAAGACTAAACATAGAACAAAAATGTGTGTGATAGAAAGAGAACTAAACGATAGAATTTCAAGAAAAAATATGAAAAGCTAACTACTGTAATGTGCCTTCAGAACTTGTTTTTTTAAAAATGGACTCATTTTCTTGTTACAAAAAAAAAAACAATTGGTAAATTTACAACACATCCTTGATTAGAGTTACGTTCTCTGAGTTATCTCCCCTTTTTATAATTAGGTTAAAAAAAATTGAACGATGCAAAAAATATTCTGCTTTTGTAAAGAAGGTCGAATTAATGAAATAAAACACATAATTTTTGTCATTAAGATGACAGTCTTGCATATGAATTACATTCCTCTGTGAAGATTTGCAAATTCTTTGAAATTTTAGACCGATTGTTTTCGTCTAAAGGTTACAATCTAAGATGGCAGAAGAAACCCGAGTTTTACTAACCGACCGAGCGAGGGCTAAATAGCCAGTCAAGGTCGTTAAAAACCCCCATAAGTAATTTTTCCTAAAATCAAAAACACATATTTAGGCCTATTTCGATTTATACAACATATTTGGCAACTAAATTCACATACACAATTTGGCATATCAAATTTATCCGCTCTTTACTTGGCTGTTGGTGTTCCAGGACAACGTTGCTGTCACTCACTGCTGATTGTTTGGCCTAGCTTTTCTCCTGTTCCGGCATTTTGTGGCTCCTATTTTTATTTTTTTATTTTTATTTTGCTCTTTATAAATTTTTTTTTCATGTTTATATTCATTTATTTATTTAAGTTCTATTTATTTTTACCTTTTATTTGTATTCATCAGTTTATTTATTTATTTATTTAATATTTCAAATTTGTGCTCATTTTACTTTTTATTCATGTTAGGTATTTCATTTTTGTCATTATAATTATATCAATTACCTTATGGTAAAAATAAATTATTCAAATGCCCAACAAAGGCGCAAGCCAGTGCCGACCGTGCGAGGGCTAAATAGCCAGTCAAGGTCGTTAAAAAACCCCCATAAGTAATTTTTCCTAAAATCAAAAACACATATTTAGGCCTATTTCGATTTATACAACATATTTGGCAACTAAATTCACATACACAATTTGGCATATCAAATTTATCCGCTCTTTACTTGGCTGTTGGTGTTCCAGGACAACGTTGCTGTCACTCACTGCTGTTTGCTTGGCCTAGCTTTTCTGCTGTTCCGGCATTTTGTGGCTCCTATTTTTATTTTTTTATTTTTATTTTGCTCTTTATAATTTTTTTTTTTCATGTTTATATTCATTTATTTATTTAAGTTCTATTTATTCTTACCTTTTATTTGTATTCATCAGTTTATTTATTTATTTATTTAATCTTTCAAATTTGTGCTCATTTTACTTTTTATTCATGTTAGGTATTTCATTTTTGTCACTATAATTATATCAATTACCTTATGGTAAAAATAAATTATTCAAATGCCCAACAAAGGCGCAAGCCAATGCCGACCGTGCGAGGGCTTTATAGCCAGTCATGGTCGTTAATAACCCCCTTCATCCTCTACCTTATATGGTGCATTAATGTTTTCTTTTCTGTATAAATTTCCAGTTCAATTATTGTGCAATTAGACGTTGCGTCTTAATTGTATTATAAGAAGACAGATTATTTTATATTATTTATTATCATTTATAAGTAAAATGTGCAACCCTATATTTCAATCTGGTCAGAAACTAGAACAAATGTTAACAGGAACAATTAATCAAAACCATGTCATAAAAATCATGAAGCACGATTGGTGCATAAACCGAGTTACGTCGCCGGAATCTTTGTAAATGTAGTATAAAAAACCAATTTTGAATCAGGTACTATTCTTTAAGTTTTAGTGATGAACCGTAAAGTCTGCTAGCAATTGATGTTAAACGATGGTAAATACAGTGTTATGTAAATTTGACAAAAAATCTGTCCTCAGGGAAGGAAGGTTTTCAGAAATACTGTGAAACTGTTTACTCGCGTAGTGGTATTAACCATATGTGGATTCTAAAAAATCTAAAGAACTTCTGAATAAATTTTAATCTCGATCTTTCTTTGAAATTGATTCTATCAAAACCTTTGATTTTTCAACCCTTTATACCACCATTCCCCGTGTCAAATTGCAAAATCGTTTAAAAGAAATAATCCACAAGCCTTTTCAATACAAAAATGGTAGCAATAACGTTATAAATTTATTGCTTTGGGATACCATACGGCATATTTGGTTAATAGTGAACAAAAAGGTAAAACATGCTACACCGAGGAACAAGTGATCAGTATGCTGGAGTTTCTTATTGACAACATATTTGTTGAATTTGGAGGTAGACTTTTTCAACAAATTGTCGGAATTCCTATGGGAACGAACTGTGCGCCTCAGAAAATCACTGTCAAAAACAAGAAGATCAAAGAAGCCAGATTATTTAATTTCACATTCAGATATATCGATGATGTTCTTTCCATTAAAAATCCAAACTTTTCTGATTGGGTTCCATTAATTTTTCCCCCAGAACTAGAAATTAAAGAAATAGACACGGCTTCCTCCGCCTCATTTTTAGACTTATACCTCGAACTTGGCATAAGCAGTCATCTCAGTACCAGAAACGAGACGATTTTAACTTTGAAAATATAAATCTTCCCCCACCTTAGCAGCAATATACCAACTTCACCTGCATATGAGCTAGATATACATTTCCTAACTCATTCGGTATTTCAGAGCTTGCAGTTGCTACTTAGACTTTATAAAGCGTCACCAATGTTTGAGCATAAAGTTGATGAACCAGGGTTATGTCAAAGAACATCTCGTCCTTTTTCTAAAAAAAGTTCATTGGAAGATACCAAGACCTTGTTGATAAATATTCGGTATCAACTTCACAAATAATACATTATGGTCTTGAAGTATAGATGCTAGGTATTGACATTGTTTATCATCTAAATTACGTGTTATAGTGGTCTTTTTATTTGTCCTTGTATATTTTTAAGCTTTAATGTTATGTCCATTTTTGGTAATATAATTTTGGCGTAGCTCGGTACTTATACATCCCGCCATTGTGTTATTGTGCTAAGGTGAATTTTGTATTCTTGTCTTTCATTTTTGCTTATGTACTTTGTCTATAGAGTGTATTTATGCCAATTTGTTTTTCTTTGTTGAAATAGTTATTTGTTTTTATAGTTGTTAGATTATATTACTAGTACAATGTTGACTGTATATTATATTACAATGTTGACTGCTTTACCCCATTTTTTTACATTTTTACCTATTATGTCTGTTTTTACTCACACATTGCTGTCAATATAATGGAATTCTATGTGACTGTCATACAAGTGAGAGGTTTAGCTATCTATAAAACCAGGTTTAATCCACCATTTTCTACATAAGGAAATACCTGTACCAAGTTAGGAATATGACAGTTGTTTTCCATTCGTCTGATGTGTTTGAGCTTTTGATTTTGCCAGTAAATAAGATACTTTCCGTTTTAGAATTTTCCTTGGAGTTCGGTATTTTTGTTATTTTACTTTTTATTCAATAACTATATTTCCAACATATTTTTTTTGCTATATTTTTCATATAAATACACAATATTTAAAAAAAAATTAAGGCATTTGTGGTCGGATTCAAATTTACTCAAACCTTATGTTGAAAGACAAATACTTTTCTAAAGTTCATTTGTTTATTTGGTCATAATTTTGCCCAGTTTTTGTTGTTTTTTTCCTGATGTGAACATGTTTAGTAATTTTCTACATATCACTTTGGTTGAAGTATACATAGCTAATTTCCGGACAGAAAATAATACTTGTGTTTATATCATCAGCAAAGGAGAACGCTTCACGACACAAATATAACAAAATAAACAAATACAACGACTGTGACAATACTGCTTCTATTGTAGCAATGTTAATAAAAATCAAACTAGAAATTACGTCACTATCTTTTTTTGAAAATATGTGTTACTATTTGAAATATATAGCAGATATTGTAGGTAACGAATCTTAATGCATAACACTGTAGGTATGGTGACTTTCACCTTTAAACTACTAACCCAAAACCAGCAATGATGTTGTTCTATCTTAGCGGTATTCTCAAGCTATCCTTTGCAATAGTATCTTTAATTGTATATAGGTCTTTTTTGTCATATTTGGCATTATCAAACCAAGTATAGGGAAATTTGGACAATTGGTTCGAAAGTTAGCATCCGTAAACCCAAATATTGTTTAAATTTCAGTCTCTCAATAACTGCTGTGATCTTAATCTTTCACAGATTGACCAGAAAATGACCAGAAAATCAATAAAGTTCTTTATCACCCAAGTAGGCATTATCAAACCAAGTTTGAAAAAAAATATTGTATACCGCTGAAAAGACTTTGTTTGGAAACCTAAATGTTGACCTCCGAGCACCGGAACGCCCGGGTATCTGGATCGCGTTCATTATATACAAATCGGCTAAAGGATATCAATTTAACGCTAAAACTATTGACCTATTACAATAGTTAGCTGTTTTTGTAAGATGTGTACTTTAGTTCTAAATACAAGACTTAATACATTTTCAGAAGAGTGTAATTTTTTATTCTGTTTGTAATTGCAATGTGACTATAATGGCCTTCCTCTTGTTACAATGTAAACTGTACTAGAGTAAAATAAAAAAAAATGAAACTTTATAAAAAGAAAATTTTGCGTGGATTTTGCGAATGCCGAGTGAATTCTACAATTGCATGTCTCTTCTAAAAAAGAAACATTTTTTAGTTTTTTTGTAGACTTTTAAGGAGTATGAAAGATTTCTCAATTGGTTTTGTGCATTCACAGGCTCAACAATTTTATGCCGTCGTATGAAATTGATACTCATTTGGAACCTTGCGATATTTAGTGAAACCCCATTAAAGATACTAGGCTTATAATTTGGTACGGCAGACGCGCGGTTTGTCTTCATAAAACCCATTAATGGTTCTCGAATCAAAACACTTAATACGAATTTAAAGAGGATTTAAAACATATTAGTAACAGCTTTCAGGTTAATCAATGTATAAACTCGCTTATCATCTACGACTTTTTCTTCTGTAGAAATAAAATGTATGAATAATTTTGAATTTGTCATCTCAGTTTTGAGAATAAAAGATTGTAATGCACGAATAAGGATAAAATGACTAATACTTCAGTTTTTTTCTAATCTTGTTGCTTAGAATAACGTCTATGTAAATCATGATAGAATGCAATATATTAAAATCCTACGTCATAAAAATCGATACCACAATGTAAACTTTAATGTTGTTCTAATCTACATACACTGCTCTTACATTTTAATTTCTTTTTAGATCAATGTTGATTTACAGAGTTTAGTTTTAATTGCTTAAATTTTTAATTCAAATCTACTGACAAATATCTCATCAGACACAAAATTTAATCTATACATAAATTTAATGATGTGATTGGCATTTTATTTGAAAAAATCTTCCTTTAATAAAAAAAGAAAACTAATTATTTTCTTCTTTATATTATAGATCTAATTATAAAAACCCAAAATAACAAACATTGCAACGCCAACATCATATTCATTATCGACTAGAAACATGTTTAACTCATTTGCTTGTCTTAAATCTATAGAAAATTCATTAATCCTAAGTTGTTTATTCACTTTTCAGATAAAGCAAACTACAGGATAGAAAGTACTCCATAGTTGCTTAAATCGACGTCGTTTGGACTCGGTTAGATAGTTGTCTCATTGACAATCATACCACATCTCCTTATGTTATATGGATACAAATCTTATCATATAAACTGAAATAGTCGAAATGAATACACGACTTATTGCAATGGATGTTCTATATTTAACAATATTTATTTCAATGTTCGGACAAATAAACACGGAAACGTTAAATGATTCAAAAAGACTTTATGACAAACTTCTAACAGGATACAAGAAACAACTATTTCCACTGGAAAACAGTACAAAACCTTTAGAAGTAGGACTCTCACTATGGTTAAAAATGATAAACGATTTTAATGATGTAAACGAGGTGTTAACAATAGTTGTCGCTTTGCGAATGAATTGGACGGACCCATCATTAACGTGGAACCCAAAAAACTATGGAAATACGGATATTTTACGTGTCCCCTCTGCTGACATTTGGATCCCATGGGTTTATGTTCTTAATAGTGTAGATGCCTTTGAACCAATTGGAAAGGACGCAACTTTTCTCGCTACGATTTGTTCGAATGGAAGTGTGACAGATGCACCCGGAGCAATTATAAAATCAAACTGTCCCACGGATATGTCCAAATTCCCATTTGATGTTCAAACATGCACACTAAAATTCATTATGTGGAGTGCCGGGCCTGCTTTCAAGCTTACATCTAACTCGGATGAACTTTTGATGGACTTCTTTACCCCAAACGCGCATTGGAACCTTGTGAATCATAAAGCATACATTGTCCAAGATAAGGGAATGTATACATACAACATAGATGTATGTATACAGAGGAAACCTCTATACTTCACCATCATTATAATTTTACCTATACTGTTATTATGTTTACTGAATCCGTTAGTATTTACATTTCCAATAGAATCTGGCGAAAGGATGGGACTTGCGATCACGGTACTCTTAACATTTGCATTTTTTCTTACTATTGCTGCGAACGTCGTACCAACATCATCAAGTCCGATGTGTTTTTTGCTGTGTATGATATTCTCTATAATTACGATAAGTTGCTTTATTATCATTGGAGTGATAATAACTGCAAGATGCCATTATGTTGAGACATTTGACCATAATTCTTCTTTTGAGATATTTTTCAATTTTTGTTGCAACTTGGAGAATGGCAGACCACTGGAAAGTAAGAAGCTACATGGGAAAGACGTTGCAAAGGTTATAGACAAACTATTTTGTACTTTTTCATATATACTAATATCTATTTCGATTATTACATACATCTTTTTTGTGAAATACGGATAATGACATTAAAGTGATAAATTGTCGAAATATAAAATGACCTATAAAACGACCCATTATATGTATTAATTCGGAACAATTACGTATAAATAAAAATTGCAAATTTAGGCACTGTATCAACCCCAAAATTAAATAAATTTTCTAAACATCTCTTTGACAGATGAAGAGAAAAACATTTGAGAGGAGAGTTGTCAATATATTCATTTTATCCAAGGTCAGATGCTAACTAAATATGTGTTTGATGTACTTAAGCCAAATGTTCTTTTCCGTTACTTGGTAAAATTACCATGGTTATTATTGAGGTATGGGCCATCGCAAAACGTATTTTCTGATTTATTTGACTGTCTTGGTAAATAGTTTTTGATTGCTGTGTTTAGGTCTATTTGGTGTGACACTTGCAATCATGAATACGAATTATCTACTTATTTTATTGTTACAAAAGTCGCGTAAACAAATTAGACACATGACTTTTAACATCATACACGGCCTATTTCCTCCAAGTCTGAATGATCATGTGTGACTATAAATCATTGTATTACTGTTTATGGATATTTTTTTATTGTCGGATAAAAGCTCTTGAGAGCTTGTGTTTTCTATGTTGTAAAAACTACTTTAAAAAAAATGATATTTTCTTTCCGTTAGTTAGTTTACAGGATTCATGTTTTCATGCCCTTGCAATTACAGATTTAGTCCCATCATGTTTACCTGCTAAAAAGAAAGGTTCTGTTTTCTTATCACGCATGGGAGACTTAAGCCATCAAAATACTAGCGCAAACAATGACAGCAACTATTAAAACTGTTGTCTATTGCTGGAGATATGGATTGACATGAGACCTTGCAATATTTTAAAATCAATTCATTGACAAGACGTTACACTCTTCCTCCAGAACAATATATCATGAAAGATTGTTGACAAACCACCCCATGTTAAAAGATAATGTTAAAAAAAGAAATTCGATATTGTTGTGTTTGAGAATTTGTAGTAATATGTTGTATGACCCTATTTACATGACATGAACGAATTACTTCGATTAAAATACGGTAATAATTCAGATCGAGGCTATAAAGGAATTTTAAGGTACCGATGATAATGTCTTATTCATATGAAGTTAAAAATAAACGGGAGATCAATTCCTGAATGCCCTTCATTTTTTTTTTGGGGGGAGGGGGGGGGCTTTAACTGTTTTGATTCGAGCGTGAGTATTGGGCCTTTTGCAGAAGAAACGCGGTTATGGCGTACAAAATTACAAGCCTGGTATCTTTGATGAGTGTTTTTGTCATTATACATTTTTAGAAATTTCATTATTTTTTACTGTTATCAACTAGTGTGATTAATAAGAATAGAAGAAATTAATGGCACAAGATTGTAATTAATTCTGTGTATTTACATGTACAATAGCTGTTGAATTCTTTTAAATGCTGATCTTTAAATTCATTTGCTGAAAGACGAGTAATTTGAATCCGCCATATGTTTTCAATTTGTATAAAAATTACCAATGCCGTGTGAAAGAACTATTTCGTATTGAATGTGGTATTAATTTAGATCAAATATATTAAGGAATTATGAACTGCTGATAACAAATACATACTCTAATGAAGTTAAACAAAAGGAAGATACATTTCATTAAGCATTTGTCCCCACCAACTAAATAGTGTAAATTAACTAGAATATAAGTATATCAAATCGGACAAGAACGTAAAAATAATTCAGAATCTGTTTATTTACAGAAGACGTTCAATTCATACAAATGCTGATTCTCAGGAATATGACAGTGGTTTTACAGTCATTCAGTTGGTTGATATGGTCGAGCGTTTGGTTTTGTCAGGTTTTATGAAGTTCCATTATTATTTTTTTAATTTACCTTGGCGTTCGGTATTGTTGTTTATACATTTGTTATTGCCTAACAGACGAATAATTTAAATACGTCATGAAAACAACCCAACATTAAAGAATGATATGCACCACCCATTTAATTGATCAACAATATATTTACGGTGTCATCCTGGTTTGCCTACTTTTAATTGAAAGTATACAGAAACACAAGGTTGGATTTTGTTTTAACGATTTTAGTTTATTTGTAAATTGTAATCATATTTCAACATGTATTTTACCTTTAAAACCTTAAAGACAAAAAAAAAGAAATACTGAACTCTACTATATAAAAAATGGAAGTATATAATATAATAATTCATAATTGCTAAATCACAGGAGGATAATATATAATTTTCGAAATATATTAATGGAAAATAAAACCTTACATACAATGACATGAAAATCAATGGATCAGATCTTTTATAGATATAAGAAGATGTGGTATGAGTGCCAATGAGCATCTCTCCATCCAAGTCAAAATTTATAAAAGTAAACCATTATATACACATATTAGTATTTTGATTCTATACTCAATTAAACTTGTACCAATTTTTTAAAATTCATTTGCGTTTTTCATTATTTTTTACTGCTTCATTATTTGAATGTGTATAATTAAACTCATCATATATACCAAGATTAAATTTTGTATTTACGCCAGACGCTCGTTTCGTCTACAAAAGACTCATCAGTGACGCTCGAATCCAAAAAAGTTAAAAGGCCAAATAAAGTACAAAGTTGAAGAGCATTGAGGACCAAAATTCCTAAAAGTTTTGCCAAATACAGCTAAGGTAATCTATTCCTGAGGTAGAAAAGCCTTAGTATTTCAAAAATTCAACAGTTTTGTAAACAGTTAATTTATAAATATGAGCATATCAATGATAATTCATGTCAGCACAGAAGTGCTGACTACTAGGCTGGTGATACCCTCTGGGAATTAAAACTCCACCAGCAGTGGCATCGACCAAGTGATTGTAAATAAACTCATCATAGATACCAGGATTAAATTCTGTATTTACGCCAGACGCGCGTTTCGTCTACAAAAGACTCATCAATGACGCTCGAATCCAAAAAAGTTAAAAGGCCAAATAAAGTACAAAGTTGACGAGCATTGACGACCAAAATTCCTAAAAGGTTTGCCAAATACAGCTAAATACACTAACTAATTCTAATTTGATTGTTAGGTAAAGGGACCCTAAAATTAATTTTACCTTTGTTCACCAAATTACAATTGTAATTATTCCACTGTTTAAACATATTGATAGTTTAATCAATATTTGATTGGTTGAGACTATCCCACGTGTCATTGAACAAATCTTCATATTCCATTCTGAGGATCATATTCCTCTCTGAAATGTCGGGATTACTTCGTGCGACGTTACGCGCGATTAATGTACATAACGTTTTGAACTTCTTATTCTTCTTAAAAAAGCGATAGCAAAAATCATTATCATGTTCAAATTTATTTCAGACGATAAAACAAACGGACTTATAATTAAATTGTGATCCTTACTGTTTATCAATGGGTATGTCGTGTTTAGTTTGACTTACAAAAACAAGCGGATAAGAAAAAAAATGTATGCAAAATAATATTTAATGTATTGATAATAAACAAAGCATAGGCAATGGAATAAAACATTCATTTCCCTTTGCCTCGGGAGATATGAAGATTTGCTCATCCTCGAAAAATCATATTTCCCTCGGGCAGATCCCTCGTGAAATATGAATATTCTTGGGTGAACAAATCTTCATATCTCCCTCCGGCACGGGGAATAAATGTATATTGTCATATCAAATCATGCGGTGCTTTGCTTTTACGCTAATTTGCATTTCATTTACGCCAAAAATCATTCATTTTCGCCACAAACCGCATTTCATTTGCGCCAAAATAATTTTAAAAAATAGCGTTTGCACCAATAATGCAATTAAATAGTATAAATAATAAATAAGTATTGAAAATATACTTTTGATGATACTGTTACAACAATGTTTTTGTTTGCATGATAAAACATATTCATCATAAACCAAATTAATTAAAACACTAAACTCGGATCAGTTTTACTGTTGCTAAGATTCTACTTTCTGCTTGTCTACACCATGGTTATGTCCATTCAATGGTTTATGTAATAGTTTTGCTGTCCACATATGTTGTGATTCTGGCTTTGCAAATTTTTGGGTACATATATACGACTTGTCTCTATTTTTCAATACATTAGTTAATCTATATAGAGTGATATATGTGGTCATTAAACATATTACAGACTTATTCCCTCTATTTTTCTCCGATTACCTATAAGCGACTCACAGTTTTGTTTGATAAATGAGTATGGACCAAGGGGATACTCAACAAATGAGTAGGGCCATGAAAGCATTATTTCGCCCTACAAAATTAAATTTTGTAATATCATATGGAAAAACCTAAAATTGTGATCTTAATATGCAAATTTCCTGTCTGATGTTCGTTTTGACAATTTTAAAAGCTTCAAAAAATATAATGATTTACAGGATATTAGCCAGATTGCCTGTTTTGATGCATTTGTAGCTTCTGAAAATCATTGGTCACACCCAACTACCAAAATGAAATTGTTATTCAAAGATGATTGAGGATCAGATACACATCCATACAAAAGTCATGGTGGTCGTCGCATGTAGGCAATGCCATTTGAAGCAAAAACTAATACAATCTAGCCAAAAAAATTAGTCAAAATTATGATTTGCTCCATAAGAGTGCACTTTTTGACGTCAAAATGAGGTCATAAGTGTTCTAATGCGTCAG